GATTAAACGGCACAATATTAAGTTCACGACGAAATTAAAAACGTTTCTATCGTTAAATTGCTTTTGGACTATAATTCAAAACCCAAGGCGACTCGGCAAACATTAAAAAGCGTTCAAACGCTAATTACATGCGAAAAATCAAATATTTAACGTTTTAATTTTTATAATTTTTTAAAAATAGTTGTTCAAAACTGGTTATTACCTAGTCAAAATGATGAGTGAAATACTCTTAACTTAAAAAGTTATCAAAATATAGTATATAATATATACATTACCATTTAAGTTCCAAAAGTTGATATAAAACTAATTAGGTTTGGAGAGGGGTAAAAATAAAAATGATTTTGAAAAGTTGAGATGAAAATTTCTTATTAAACCATATGAGATATTGAGTGGTTCACGACAAAATGATCGCCCTGTATAAAAATGTACCCGACTTAGTTTTAATTTTCAAGAGTACAAAAAAATGGTCTTACAAAAACAAAACATCATAACCTACTAGTACAGTGGAAGCGGCCCATTAAAATAATTGAACTTGGCGGCTGACACTTGTTACAGTTTTTAGTACCGCAAATTTAACGATTCGTACCGTATGTTTTTTTTTTGTTAATTTAATTAAATTGAATAGCCGTGAACTTTGTAAGTAGAACGCAGACAACCCCAAGGTGACCTTGTTGAGTACATTAAAGCGCTTTCTTCTAATTTTTATGTAGTACCTATATTTTCATAAAAAAAAATGTCTGCTTCTGTTTTACGTAAAAATAAATCGTTGATCAAGATTTACAACAACGAACCGTATTTTTTTTTTAATCATATTAAAAAACATTTCCAAAACTACTTCCGTAATAAAATATGTAATTTTCCTTACATTAGAAAGTACTCAAAGGGAGAAATTTTATTTTCTTCATATCATTTGTAAATACTGAATTTGTAGGGTACTATGTGCGTAACAAAATAAACATAAAAATACAAATACAAATCTAGTTTACTGTAATAATCGTGAACACAACTGTTATACGCGTTCGGTCCCTTTTTACCGTACTTGGTTTAATTTATGACATGTCCGCGTTAAAGCGGCATTGGCAATTGAAATGACAAAAAAATAAACATGGCTTATATAATATGGTACAACTGTTATTGCAAAAATTATCGTTTATCGCTTTAATAATAACAATAATGCACCCATCGCGTAGAATATATTTTCAATTAAAACAAAATGTCGATAAGTCAGTATTATATTACTACAATAACTATTATACAATGTTTTAGTAATTATGAAAAAAAAAAGAAACATTAATTAAAGCATAAACTAAAAGGTACGGGTGGCAATGCGTGACCAACCCACTGATTCGATTGAAATAAAGATTAGGTATAACATTATGTTATTATGGCGTTAACTCATAAAAGTCGTTAAATATGTATATGTAATGTATGTGTGTGTATGTGTATGTATCTGTGAATATGTAATCAGTCAAACGGTACACATTAAATATAGTTATAGTAATAAGTATAAATTTCTAGGAGCCGCATTATGATTTTTTAATAACAATTATTATTATAATATAAAACGCGGTGCTTTTTTTATTTTCCATTTTACACACACATTTGTTTAATGTATTTTTAACCTTTTTTTTCTCTATATATATATTATAATATTATAATACTATGTAAACGATTTAATTTTTAGAGTATGTTATTTTTAATGGGAATAGTTTTATCTTCTACGTCTCTTTTGCCCCGAGATTAAAACGACTATTATTTTTCCGTTTCCAGAGACTTTGTACACGTATTAAGTATATCGTATAAAAACGAGTTTTCTCGTTCTCTCGCCCTTCTAATTACCGTTTTGCGGGAGAGGAGCCGGGGGTGGAGATGAGAAGTGATAAATCTTTACTATTAAAGCCCGCTTAACCGTCCACGAGTACTTTTTTAACCGCAAAGCTAAAACAAAGCGGACCAAGACTATTCATACGGCCATGATCTCGGTTAGGTTAATAGGGGCACGTGGTATTTATAATGAGACACAAAAACCGTCCTCTCGGACGACCGTGAGCTTTTGTACACGTATTGTTGTTTGCCCACTGCGTTTGTATAATATTATAATTGTACTCTGTAAAAAAAAATAATAATAATAAAATGAAAATTGATCCCCTAAGGTCCCCGTAGGTTAAAGTTGTGTTGTAAATTCGGGTCACACGCAGCGCAGAAACAATGCGACGTTCACGCGGATGCTGATATTTACATTAAACGGCCGTACATCAACCGACACAGGCCGTATACACTGTGTTTGTTCATGTAGAACGGTTTATTGTTTCGCTGACGGCCAGTAAATATTTCTAGACGCCGGCAAATGCCTTTTATCCGTTTGATTAACCGTTAACCGTAGATTCATTCGACCGGGGTGTCGCGACAAGTAAAATATTTTAAAGTTGGTGAATTTTTTAGTAGTAGAGGTTTTTCTTTTTTATATGTTTCGATATTGTTTAAAATGCCATACAAAACATAACACTTATCAGTTATAACGTTATCACATTATCATATGAAGCCCTAAGGTTTTCTATTCTAATAGTACACTTGGTAATTTCATCTCGCTAAAACGTTATATATCTATACAAATCTAAATGTTTGTTTGTATAAACTGTCCATGACTTCAGAACCCATATTTTCTGCATTTGTTTGTAGGTTATAAGCCAACTCGGAAAACCGTTATTAAACGGCGCTCTGTGTATGCAATAATGATACACCAGTGTCGAGCGGAGAAACGAGCAGTCCTATATTTTAATAAAACAACGCACTATCAGTTTTTAATCGTTGTCTTTGTATAGTTTTTTTAATAACCCTATTTCTCGAAAGTATGCCATAATGCGATTTTAAATAATTTATATTGCAGGCGAAAAATTTAGTAACATAAAATAAACTTTGTTGTATTAAAAATACAATTTTTCGACGTACAACAGCTCATTTCGAGATTTGTATAATACTATATGAAGAAAAATTGAATTATAAAAAATAATTAATTACATTTCTTAGGTTCTTATTCGTAGATTTTATAGTAACAATATATAAAGGTGTTAATAATTCTGAGTATTTTTTAAAATAAAGTATGAACTAAATGGAAACATATCTTTTATATACAAATAATATTAACAATCATTAATTTTATTACAATATTATGTTTTTACTTTTTTTTATGATTAACAAATTTTGATTGTTTTTATAAAAACTATTAGCAATTCCGTTAACAAATTTGTTTAATAAACAAAACATAAGTCATTCTACAAGTTTTATGAATTTTTAGATAAAGACACAATATTAGCATAATGCTCGATGTAAGTTAAACACAACGAATTTTATACAGAAAGATCTGAAAAAAATAAAACGCATGTTGTATGGTGTTTACATTCTAGAAATGTAACATTCACAGAATAAAGGCAAATAAAAACCTATTTGTTAACCCTTTGGGAAATATAATATGCTTTGTGTGCCGGACTACTAATATTGTAATATAAGAATTTCATTTTCACATTTTTTCTATTATCACGTTAGTAGTCGTTCGTGTGTTTTTTTTATTTTTTTATTAAATGTATAAAAAATATTTTATATTTTCACGGTGAATTTTATACCGTGCACGTTCACAGTTTACTTTTACGGCGTATCAAATGTATAACGGTAATAATAGTATAACGTTTGATGGTATTTTTTTGCCAGTTGAGTTTTGTCCGCTTGAAAACGCACAAGGTGTCCGTTTGATTAATTATTGTCCCTCGAGTCGAGTTTAAGAAGAATTAACACTGGGCGGAAAAAAACCAAGAATAGAAAAGAAATGGAAAACTTGTAAAAGTAAAATAATTTGCGCGGTAAAAAGAAACAAAACAAATGGGGGTACAACCTTCATATTAATTGCGTTTATGACGCCTCCACACAACCGAGCGTAGATGTCTTAAGGGAAAGCCGAACGAGTGTGGTTTTAAGGGACGGAGAGAAAAACAGGTCTCTTGACACTGATTGATGATCGTGTTTGGCTCTCTCTCTGTCTGCCCCGCTGCCTACCGCCGTTTTCTCAGGAGGATATTGTGCGGTCGGTGCCATCCAGAAATTTCAATAACATCCGTTGTCTGTATTTGTCCCGCAGGGATCGGTTTGTGACAAAAAAAAAACACCGGGAAAGTATTGTTTCTTCGCCGAAAACCACCGGCCGCGGTGTAATCGACAAGTTTAGGCGACCGAGGAGGTTGAATTTGTATTTTTTGGCTCATTATAACATGTGTCTACAGGCGCTTTTTCACGCTTTCTCAAGTCAAGTTTAGTTGACCGGCTATTAAGATGTTGCATTAAAATTGATCGCCAAACCATTGACTCGGTCAAACTATATCGTTCCAAGTGTACACAAATCACACGCTGTTGCTGAAATGCTATCGATTCTAGCTAGTACAGCCCTATAACGTGTACTGTAATATATGTAGATTCGCAACATACCGACGGCAGGGCAAAACTGATTTGTAATGTTCTCAAAACATGTACCCGTTGATAATGGACAATGCACGTTGTACACAAACCGTGTACTTACGTGTAACGACCGCGTTTGCTGAATGCAAAATAGACGGTATTTGAGATAAGACAAATGTGTTGTACACGATGTGTGTGTGTGATATATTATGATTATGTATTTTTTTACATTATGATTGGGTTTATTTTAATTTTTCATACGACCCACGTGGCACCACCGTCAATGGGAAATAATATAGGTGTAATATTATACATACTCCACGCTACCCATAAATTATACAGCGACACGCTAAAAATAACTTATTTTAACGTCAACCACACGTTATTATATTGATGTGGCCTATGAAACGCGCTGTACTGTAACAAATAGGAATATGTGTAGAAAATGTAAACGAAACCTTGAACTCTTGATTTTATCATTTTATGTTGCACAAGTAAAATTATACTAATTACCAAAGATGCATTTATTATTATTATTATTCATTTTTTTTCTCCAGGAAAGAGCTACCAAAAGACTTCTCCGGTTCTGACGTCAGATTATTGGAAATGATTTTCGAAAAAGCACAACAATCATTAGGTGAGTATCAATATTTGTTTTTTTTTTTAAATACATCTAAACTTGAAATAATTATTAAATTAATTTTACGAAAAGAATATTTTTTTTTCTTAATAAAGAAAACAAAACGTATTATTCTCTCAGTCTGTGTGTTAATAACTGTCTGTTGCTCTTCATTTTTACCGGTCTTGGCGTTCCCTTAAATGTATAAATATTACGCTGAACTATCTATTTCTTTTTACTTTTTAGTTCCTAAAATTCTCAATTATGGCCATAAATCAGTCAACCTGTAGCTATATTCGAGGAAAACATCACAATAAAGTTGTTGTATAAATCTGGCATTTAATTCCTTTGGGACTGTGTCATAACGATAAACGCTTCGGTCGGTTTGCGGCAACCTAATTTAAATAAACCTTAATTAGTTATCGCGTGCTCCAATGATTTTTGTTTTTAGCATTTTTTTCCCCCAAATTAATATGCTTGACATCATCATTCGAGCGGTTAACCTGATTCCAGTACGATTTCAGAGATACGCTTTGTGTATGGCACGTGTAATCGTGTTCAGTCTGGCGTTTACACAGTCTTAGGAGTATGAAGTCTGCAAATTATGATTATGTAAAAAGACCACTTCGTATTACGAGCTTTTATTCGAAGGAGGTCTTAACACCGTCATTAGCCGGCGACAGCCTTAGAAAATAGACTCCGTCACCGGTCTGCATGAAATCCAATTAATAGTAGTCAGAAACATGTCCAGTAGTCAGTATGTGCATAATTTAATTAGTTGTTATGAGGCGATGACTAATCAATATAGAACATTGTTGACTGGCAGAATAGCAAAATAACTAGACCATGAAACGGCAATTTATAAATATAATTATTACATAAAATGTTTCCATTTTTCGTGTCTTTCTCATATAGTTTTTCTTTTAAAAAGACTAAACTCATGAAAAAAATACCCTATTATAACAATAATTATAAACAATAATATTATATATTTTTTTCTAGTTTATACACATTTTATATGATTTATATGATCACCCGACACATTTTGTGTTCTGTTGAACGACCAAACGAGAACTGAAAATATATTGCAATTTTGTGATTCTTTTATTAAAGCATTAAAGTATTTAATATTGCAGTAATTTAGTTAAATATACTTTATAGTGTTTCGTTGTATAAGTAGTGGTTTTTATTTGTTATTTGTTTTACAGTTTTACAGAGAGGAGCTTAACAGCTCTATTTACCATGCTTCTAAGTCTTCTAAAATCCGAGTATTTTTCCAATATAGTTGTTTTTTTTATCTAAATTATAAAAAGTTTCGTCGCAATGGCTCTATCGGTTGCTACACAATCAATTTAGCACTTTTTATTTACTCTTAATAATACATTTTAAAACTTGTATCTGATCTATTATGATAAAAATATCATGGCCAATAGTCACTGATTCACCGATGAAAGAGTCACTGGTTATTTCTAACTTCATGTACACAAATTTGATGGTTTTTTTTTTTTTAAAAAATGTTTTCTATTTGAACCTCCCAACAAAAGCGCGTATCATCGTATTTCTCCTTTTTGCCTCCCTTGTATATAGTAATAATTTATCTTTTAAGCTGACTTTCCGAAAGTAGACACCGTGCGGCGGCTTTTAAATAAATTATCCCGGGGTCGACCGTCGCCGCGGGTGGTCGGTGGGCAATATGTGCACTTTCAATAATAATATAATACTAATAATATTAATAATATTATTATTATTAACAACAGGTCGGCGGCACACAGGAACAACCGACGTTCCAGTGTTGTGGAGCAGCAGGTGCTCGGCAATTTGACCAACAGGCAACATTGTATTTTCTAAATATTAAACTACACGGCGGTGCAATAAATAAAACGACGATTTTGCGGTAGTGTACGGGTAGTGCGGCCATAAAACCACCCAGTGCGGGTGGTATCAGTGGGCGGGAGGAGAGGGCAACACTGTTTTCGGATTTGGTGATTTATCGGCATCGCGACTAGATGCCGAAACAAGACCGGTTAGCCGACATAATCCGGCTGGTGGCTGCCAAATATGGGTTTGCCAAAACTTATAATATAATATGTAATAATGTGTAGCGGAATTTCGTCGCTAACTCATTGCTTCGGTTTTCATCCCAAACGGCTATTCAATAACAATAATAATATCCATTGCCCTCCCCCGGGGTCCATTGTTGAGACTTTTTTCACAAAAATATTGGCCCGTACAATAACGCCATGATCTATATTGTATATTACAATTTTAAACATTTCCAGTATTAATGTTTTTTCACTTTGTTGATTTTTAATAAATCGACTAAGTACGGTAATTATTGTGACATGGAAAACAATTCGATGTAGACAACTTTGAGAGTTTGTTGTGAAAAGGAAAAAAAAACAAAATGATACACGCTTATAGCCAGAAGATAAATATTTGTCTTAGCTTTAACATAAGATAATAATATACAAGTAGATCGGATGTCATAATAATTTGAATTTTAAAAAAGTCTGCTTGTTACATCTTATGAACGCTTGATTTTTAATTTTCTCTTTAACTATAAGAGATAGAAATCAAGCTCATTAGAGAGACCTTCTCAAGAAGAAGTTTGTTACATTATAAACAAAAATTGTCAATTTTAGCTACATTTTTCTTTAGCCACGTAGATCTATGAAACATAACATAACATATATTGTAACATGAATAGATTTAAATATTACCTGATATTTTTTATTCATACACAACAATAATGACTAATTGCCATCGAATAAGTCAGTACAGTAATTTTTTTAGGATATAATTTAATATCGATTTGTTAAAAACACTATAATACATTTTAGTAAACACCAACAAAAACACTATCAGAAATTAACAAAAAAAACCCATATCGATAACAAATTGAACACTTTAAAAATAATATATGATAATATATATATATTTCGTAATAAATAATCATATTATTACTTTTGTTTTTATTAAATTCATTATAACGGCATGCTAATTTTAAACCCGACGGTTTACTTTCGTTCAAATTAATATTCATGCCCGGTTGTTTAATGTCTTCAATTTTATAGCCTTTATACGACTTTTGTACTTCATCTGTATGTATTAATAAACCGTATTGTAGTCAAATGAACGTGCTAGGTATTACATTTTTATATTTTTGTTTTGCTACTGGCGGAAGGCCGTTTTTAATTATGTATCATAAAATTGTAAAATATGATCAAAAGATCCGCTGGTGTTTCATTGAGACTGTGACTCAGTCGGTAAGTCAATTGTAACATTTTTAAAAACAGTATTCATTTTAGCTTCGATGCAGTAGCTATCTTTTAATAACGCTTGCCAAGTCGGGGTTGGCAAGTAGACTTTGATTTTTAATTTTTGGGGACTTATTTAAAATAAATATGTTATTATCAAGCAATTAATTCAAGTAGTTAGTTCGAAGTACGAACATTTAGAGGAAAAAAAATCTGTTTTTTTCAGAAATACGTTCAAACAATATATGAATATTTTATCTATGAAACATTTTGAGTACAATTTGTTTAGCTAAAAGTATGTTGACAATAAAACGAAAAGTTGTATATAGCTTTGCAGTCCCTAACTAAATAAAACATTTTTATTTAAGAAAGGCTTTGAGTACAATATTTTGTATTCATATTACATCAACTTAATGTACTAACGTATTTATTATATCACTATAATAGTGGCGTGTTGTTTAAATTAGTTTATGAAAAAGTGTACAACACGTTAAAATATGTTTTACCTTAAGAAAATTTATTTTTGAAAGGGGTTTCATTTGTGGAACTGTACACGATTTTAATAGGGTTCTCCTTAAAATAAGTATAAATAGAGTTTTAAATAATTATCATTAAAATTTTAAAAGTGTAAAGCTTAGGACGGGAAAAAGGGCAAAGTGTGGTATTATTTTTATCTGCGTTCACTACATTTTAACTTTTAAAATCTAATAAATAAAAAAAATATTTATTAAAAATTATTATCGACCAGTAAACATTTTTAGTAATGTATTCATAATTTAAAAAGTCAATAAAATTAATACAGTACGGTTTAAATTTTAATAGTAGTATAAAAATTATCAAATTTGAAGGGGATAAAAAACATAAAATGTTGTAAACATTGAGATGAAAATGGATGAAAAACACTAGGGAAAAATAAAAAACTGAATTACTCATTATACTCTACGAGACGTTGAGTCTCTTTGAAAATATAACCTTGGGTAGGTTTTTGTCAAGACCGAAATTCTGGAAATAACATGACCCACTGAACTCAATACAATGTAATCATTTTGTCTTGGACCACTCAATAGCTCATTGGATTAAATTAATAACTGAATTTTTTTTCATAGTGTTGTTATAATATAATGTGTTTTCAATTTTCCATAGATATTTATGTTTCTGCCCCGCTCCCAAACTAATTATTCTTGAAGGTAACGCATACATTTCTTTAACTTCTAAAATTTATAAGAGAATAGTCTGTGGTTATAATATATTTGATAAATCATAGAAATGTAAGCTAGTCGATGATAACTTCGTCATGTATTTGATAAATCATGGAAGAAACAATACATATCATAGACAAAACAATAACGGTTGTTCACAAAATGACAGTCGGCTGTAAGCGATACGCGTTCCATGTACAAAGTTCAGTTTGACCCTTTGAAAACCTTGATTTTCACATTCGGTGTAACGGATGGGTGTTTTATGTTCTGCCGGAATGAGGAGAAATATAATATTATGTATTATTATTATTTTTTTACTTTATATAAAATATACACAACGTAAAAAGTCGTAAATAAGTTTTGACGGTTGTGGCGAAAACACGTGCAAAAAAAAAAAAATGCATAGGTAAAAACGAATTCTTGACGTTTGAACGAATTTATGGTCTCGTTTTTCGTCCGTGTTCTTCGCCCGTTCGGTCCATTTTATTTTTACGCTATACTTCCCACCCTCGTTTACCCCTTTTTTTTTTTAGCACATTACTCGCTTGCAACATAAAAAATATAACTGGAAAAAAAAAAAAAATGTTAAATCGTTTCAAGCGCTAAGCGTCCCCGCCAAACAATAGTGCTGTGTGTTTATTCTTATTAACATGGATATGTTATTTTGAGCTGGATACAAGAAATTTCATGTCACTACGCTTTGACTTACGCTGAGATAATTGATAAGAGATAACATATCCATGGTTCAATGTTCTTCCTTGGAGTGAAGAAAATAAAGAGGTTTTTTTTCTTTAACAGGCGAAGGTGGTCCTAAAGTTATCGAAGCGGTAGGTGCGACGCTCATCCGGGAATGCACCGACGACCGTTTAATTCGGGCTCTGAAGAGTTTGGGCGGAAATCTGTATCATTTTCTGACCACTCTGGACGGTGTTCAAGACGTTCTTCAGCTGGACGACGCGCAGGTGAGATTTGAAAACAATAATATAACATTTTACAGGAGACGCACAAACTGTCTGTAAGAAATGTTATTTGTACAAAAAATAAACAATATTTTTATCTACATAAAAAAAAAAAATCCTCACGGAATTTTAAAAATAAATATGCTATTGGCAGCCATTTTTGAATTGGTGGACTTGTCTTCTTTCTGCACTTAAATTAAATGTTTTTATGCAGAAAGCATCCATTCCACAAAAATATAAAAAATGAAATTTTGATACTACTAAATGTCTTTTTGCAAAATGCATTAAAATATTTTTTACTGTGACGCTAATTATAAATGTTTCAAAAACTAATATGAATTTTAACCCGTCACTACTCGTGCCATTTTTTATCACACTTAAATAAAGTGTGACCACTGACGGGCTTAGAAAAATTGTTTTAAAATATAAAATTATTGCCAAACAAAGATTTATGGGATGGCTGCTATTTGCATCACTGCATACAATTATAATTGCCTTAAAAACGCAAAGATTGTAAAAAAAACTGATTTTTTATTAAATTACATATTATATTTTTAAGACAAAGTGACTAGAACCTACTTATGTTAACTTTTAACATGTACTTAAACGACATTTTTTATCTCTACCATATACTGACCAATTTAATACAGAAAGAGAACATGTCCTGGATTTGACCCCTTTATGCACAGAACACTGATAGGATATTACCTTAGCTAATAATTGGCAAACAAAATATGTTTTTTTGATTGTAAAGTGTTCATTTTTAGCCATTATGCGCGTAAAACACTATTTGTTCTTTCTTAGAACTTATAATAACATATTATAACAAAATTTTATGTTTTTCATTTTTCAAAATTAAGTTTGCCCATATTATATTATAGTGCAGTATACACTTATGTCGTCAGATAACTGTTAAATAAGGATTAATTATTTTAATACCCACATGAAACACCCTATAATAATATTATGTTAATCTTGTAAAGGCTGTCATAACTTCTTTGTGTCTTTTATGTAGAGCCTGCATCACAAGTTATAGTCTCTTGAGACAATACCTTATAATAAGTTATTTTAAAGTTGTTGATAATGACACGTTTATAATCGCATCTTGTTACTTTGCACATTTTCGTTTGTAAAAAGATTATGTCTTCCAAAGTTGATTACGTCGCACTAATTATTTAGTCTTGTTAGAGAAGAACAAGTTAGGCGCACATTTTATCTCTGTTGCGCTGGAAAGTATAACCCGATAATTATAACATGTATATGATGAAATATTAATAAACAAAGTGTTTTGTCAATGATTACCTTAAAGGTAGCCTGAGAGTGGCGCCAATAGCAGGAAATTGATTGAAATTAGATTGAGTTATTGGCTAAAGAATGTTGAAAGAAGAAAAGCCCACAATAGAACAAAAACAGGTTAGAGAAACTATGCGATGAGGGTATAAATGGAAAAAGAAGTGATTGGACGGTATTGTATTATTATTTTAGAGTAAAGAAGATGTGTGGTTCGGACAAAGAAATGGCGACAATTAGATGAGAAAAGGTGAATAGAAGAAGAAGATGAGGCATGCATAACAGCTGGAGATAATATCTTCTCGGATAAAATTTAGGTACAAGTGCAATTTTCCCCTTATTTGTTTGGCCCAAATAAATTACCTATAGGGTACGATTTTTGAACAAAAAAAACTGCTACATAAAGTTCAGAAGTCTACGGTTAGCGTTTTGCGCTGGGCAAAAGTGACCAATGCCGTGTAATGGGATTTTAATGCGGTGTTTTAACCGTGTTTTCATTAAACCGTGTATCGTGCATTACACACACCTTCGTGTAACAGCGATTAAAATCCGTTTTGTTTGAATGGCGAGCTCTGTGATGTATGGTTCTCTCATTATAACCGTTGAACGTGAGTGTTGGGTGTGTGTGGGGCAGAACCGCCTAAACGCGACAATGCTATTCAATTAGATCCAATTGCTCGACAAACTTAGCGACGTTGAAGTTCCCATGCCGGCGCTACAAAACGTCTTACACCTCACACCTCAGAGCCACCGCCCAATTTAATACTATAAGCATATTATAATAATCCATTTCCGGATTGTGTACGATCACTGAAACCACAATAAGAATAATATTATTTGAACTTTTCACGCCCCGGAACATTAGAACATTATCCATCATACTTGACCGGAATGCTCGGCGTTCGACTTACCTGGTCGGTTCCCTGAGCGTGACGGCATAGTATTATTATATTATGGAAATCGATAGTTTGGAACCGTATGAATTGTTGTACGGGCAAATCGATATCAAATAAAATGGAACCGGATCGTTATTGAATAAAGAAGGAAAGCTCAGACAACAGGAAACCAGTACAGAGAAACTAAGAAGTGAAGGTGTAAACTGAAAAGTAAGTGTTTGAATGATATTATATTATTTGAGAGTAAAGGAGTAGTGCGGACTAAGGAATGGTGACAATCGGATGAGATAAGGTATAGGAATAGAAGAAGAAGAATTTTTTCGCTAAGTTATAGCAAGTCAAAGTCGAAGGTGAAAGCCCGGTTTAATTATTTTTCGTTTTTCCCCAGTTTGCTTTGGGGGTGAAGGAATTGACTTTTGACTAACCTAACCGAACTTCACCAAAATGCCAATCACATATTTTATTTTCAAAGCATAAAAGGGTGTAAATTTGGAATGAGACGAATCGTAACGATTTCCATTTTAGTTTTAAACCATTGTGTAATGTACGTCTTGACTGTCTTGAGTTATTGTTACATGTGAAGATTCTGTTATTGGTTGAATTGAATGAATGATTTGACCCAATCGTTTGCTTGAAATCGTTACAAATTTTAACGAAACGCTTCTTTAAGTTCTTCCACGATTGGACCGTCAGACAATACTGATAACCGATCTTAAATCGCCTGTCATACGACGTTGGGAATAAAAAATTATGCTTTTTTTCGCTTAACCAAGTATGTGTGGAATACACTAAATGAAAAAAAAAGCGGTCGAGGCTTTCAAGTTGGTATTTGCACACAAAAAAAAATGTAATATCGTATCCCCGATGATTAAGCGGTTTTTATGACAGATGCTAAATAAGAGGCACGGGAATCTATATGGTTTTGAAATAAAGAATAATCGCAGCACTTCGGATTTATATAAGCCCAAGGAAGACATGGACCATTATGAATTGAACGAATACCGATAAATAATATTTCAGCTTTTACAATCTATCACGGAAGCTCGGTATGATGAACTTGTAATATTATTTTTTTTTTTTTTAGAAAATACCGATTGGCTTTACTGTTTTATTTATCCAAAAGTGAGTGTAAAGTTGTTTTTGTTTTGAACTCGAATAGCATTATTATTATAAGAATAGAGGTTTACCGTCATCGTAAAGTGTCGTCTCGGTTTGATGAGTGTACCGTGGAATGTTTGCTGGCTGACGGCAAACATTTTAATACAAAAAAAATAACGTCTCGTGCATTTTATTTCGATAATTTTTTACTGCGAAAAATATTACAACACTTTATGGGTGGAAATCTCATCGAGTTCAACGAGCATGCATAAAGAGCTCACTGAAATCAAACCCGTGTGCAAAGTGTCGGCAGAGTGCGCACACGAGATTGCATTTATATTTCCCAAGAAACCATTAACAATAACGGTCAGACGTTCCTACAGAGAACTTTTGTTGAATATCGAAGCTAAAAAAAAAAAATGACGAGAAATTTTAGTTGTAAGACGTGCACTTCTATTATTTATTCTATGAATATTTGTTTTATTTCACGACTCGTTTTTGTAATAAAATATAATATAGGGTGATCCATCTGATGTGAGACACTCGTGTGACGTTTAAGTGAAGTACAACGGACAATAAAGAATCTACAGTTGTTGCTTGAACCAAAAACAAAAAAATACCAAGGATTTCGGTCATATCCGTGACATCAAATGAAACAATTTTCGTCGCCACAATCTGAATGAAAATAACCGATCCATCAGTTATGAGTCACAGTCCAAAAATAAATGTACTTATTTGCAATAGTTAATATAATAATACTATTGTTTACATTGTTTGCAGTTCAATTGATGCCTATTTTAAAATTTTAAATTTTACGACCAACGTACATTATTGCCTTTAATATTATACGAATACACAATTTAACGTTTATTTTACTTTTCAATCAATCTATGTCGTCACCTCAATTCGTTTAGCTCTTGTACCTATTTCAGTGACGTGCTGTAGTTAAATACGATATCAATCATATTGTCTTATTCATTCGTCGTTGCAGTTTTCCGTCTTGCCAAATTTTAACTATATATTTGTTTTTTCCCAAAAATATTTCACTTTCTTCAATGGGGTAAGCTACGTACAACGAGCTATAAATAATCTCTCTTCCATTTATTCAAACAAAAAAACGCGTTACTGAAATTAGACAGATTTGTTCAATATCAAGAAAGTAAAACAATACATGGTGTTCCATTCGATGTAAGAAACTCATTTTGTCGGAAAGTATGAATTTTTTGAAATTTACTTGCTAACAAATTATTGGTATTGGTCTTAAATTTAAATCTTTAAATTTAAGTCATAGCAAACGAACGGATTGATGAAAACTGAAAATCCAAACACTATCATTTTTTTACAATTTTTTTCTATTTACATATTTAAAAAAATATGTTCGCATTTGAAAAAAAAGATCACACTTCATTAGCGTATTAGGGATGAAGGTATAACATTTTCGGTGTATTGTAAAATGTGTACCTACAAGTACAGGGAAGAGTTATTTTTATACTAGTACACGTTGCGGTATAAAAATAAAAAATACACGACGTTTAATTGGAATTTTAGATTTATCGTCGCGGACACGACGAGACGCATACAAATACGTCCAGGAAACGCTTAAGTACTCCAAATTTCGCCAGCTCATCTATTGTGTTCTTATATTTTTGCTCGTCATAACGGATATTTCTATGTCGATCACATTTTTTACGACGTACCTGCTCGCACCATTTCCGGGCATATTATATTAAATTCTTTGCACTTCGTCCCGTGTAAATGGTTCGACCCTTTTCGCTTCCGGCGTGGTCCGCGTCTTGGTCTTATTGCGAATAAGTACGGCAACCTTGGAATCGTAAACAAGCAGAGTAAAATATGTCCGTCGTTAGCGAACCGTTGTCCGAATAAATAATTGCATTTTCTTATTAGGTTGGCCGAAGGGTAAATCTGTACGATAATCCGTCGCAGACAACGCGTGCGATGGTGTTTAACGGGCCCATTGCTTAAGTTAAGTATACACTCGTCTGGAGACCAGATTACAATAGGTAACGTTCGACTTGGTTGATTGGATGAGTTGTTAAATATTATGAGTAAATTAAGTTTCGTTTTTCAACTGAGATGTCTGATTCCCCTCGAGATGATGATAACTTTTTTCAGCTATTCTATAAATTATCGACAAAAATACTTAACGTCACCCTACTTGTTTATTTTCATTACCGCAGCTACCGTGCTTAACATCATAACAGATAGTCAAACTATCCACAACAATACCTAAAAGTAAAGAATATGTACAAACTAGGTACTATATTATACTGTTGTGTTTGGAAAAATTGATATCACTTTGTATAAAAACACTATGAAAAAATAAATTAAATTTCTATTACACCCCATGAGTTATTGAGTGGTTCGTGATAAAATTATATATAAAGAAACTATACATTTAATAACTTATAATTCACATTGACTCACACGTCAATTGAATTTACCACAAAAATATGCACGTTACATGTTATGGTGGTTGTTTCCCGGAAATTTTTATTCCAGCAAAGCGCATAACAATTATGACTACATTTATGCCAATCAAAGTCCAATTAAAATGAAAAAAATGCGTTTACCTTTGTAGAATACTATTTAGTGGACCGTTAATGCGTCACTAATCGATGTCAAACTCTAAAGACTCTTTTAGTTAATCATTTATTGGTTTCCACTTTTATGCAATAATTATGATACGTTTAATATTAAATTAACGCATTGCGACCACGGGTTTTTTTGTTTCCTAAATAATTTCAATCATTTTTTTATCGACTGTTATTACTGCTCCTTAATGACTTCCCTCGAGTTTCGAGAAATGTCTTGTTTCCACAGCAGTGATGACATAGATCACTACGCCTTACCGCAGCGACAGTAAGTAAAGCCATTTTTCATTTAAAAACCTCCCCTAAATGTAATCTACACATTGTAACTGACACAAATAATTTACCAATGATACACACACGTGACGCAACTCTATGGGCAATTCGACTTTGTAAACTTAACCTACAAGTTTCTTTGTTTCTATGAGAAATACGTTGTATTATAAATTATTATCAAAATTAAGTTATATATTAGAGATTATTGTTCTATACTTTGCTTTGATTGTGTTTATTTAGGAGAGCAGAAAGTTTTTACAAAATAAATTACTCATACTTTACAAGAAACATAGCTGGTAAGTCCCTATCAGTGTCCATCTGCAAAGATAATGGACTTAATTGCATTAGATGTGGGCAATAAGAGGAAATAGCTTAAGCATAATAATTAGATAAAAATTAGAAAATATTAGAAAATTTAGAGATTTAATGAAGGCTGAAGAAGAAATGAATAAACGTCATAAATCAAGACGTTGCGCTGTTATGTCAAGAAATAGTGTCTAGCAATAAGCGTTATTGTGTTATTAAACTAATACCTAATAATTTAATGTTAATAAATAATTTAGTTAAACTAAACTAATATCTCTTATTGCTGTAACTATGTTCCAATATTTTTTTGGTTATTCTTTTGTTTTACCTTGACGTTAAAATTGTTCTTTAAAATCCCTCAGGGTCCTAAAAATATTTACCATAAATCAACATATTTTATTATTGACTTTTTATTATAAGTAATAAAAACCGACAGCAATATTTCGCCATACTTTGAATTAATCTATTAATCTTCATTCGGCTATAGTGACATAATCGAATCGCTAACTACCTTTATTGAAGGCCCATATTTTTTAATTTAGTTTTTATCATATATTTCCACGATGCGTTTCCTATGTAACACATATAATATGTATATATTACTATGCTGAAAAAGTTCTTGCAGAGTGTAAAATTAGTTTCGTCCATATACATGGTATCTGATTATGAGTAATGGCATAAAGTTCTGAAACTTTTTTGGTTTTTCTAAACTAGGCCATTCATTCTTTAAAATATATTTCATGTTAATACTTCCGGAAGGTAAGCGTTGGGGATTTAACAAAAAAATAGATATAATACGAGCGAGAAGTGTTTTGGCAAACGGTTGCTTTAATAAATGTATTTTTTTTTTAAGTGGTTATTTATTATTTTATTGAACCCGTTTGAAATATTTTATAGAATAATTTCTATAAATTTTAAAAACTGTAAAAATAATTTTAAAAATGTGGTTGTGCGGTGGTGATTACAACAAAAGCTGTTCAATTTCCTAGTTGCCAACTTTTTCATTAAAATACTACCAAACAAAAAAAAAAAACATTGGCGATGGAGCCGGGTCAAAATTACTTACTGAAGAAATTGACAGCCTCATAACTTGTTTAATTACTAATTACCCCTCGAGGGAGATATTATATGAATAGCAATTTTGTTTGCTTACAAGGCATAACTACACAACTCGAACCAGATTTTCTTACCGTCTGAACTGTAGACTGTTTATGTTGTATAATGTTCTTATTTTTGTTTTAATAATTAATTTAATTGTTTTTAATTTACAAATGAAGTCTAATTGGACTGTAATAACTCTAACTTTAAAAATCTGTTGAATCCTTCCATTTTCTTATGTACTGCTGATTTTCTATGTCCTTTCAATCATCTCATAACATCTGTTGCTCTTATCAATAATCTCTCATCTACCTACTGCTTCTTTTATTTATAGTCTCTAATCAATCATCTAGGAATTGTGGATTTCTTCTTATCACCATCCCATTCCCTTCCTACCTCTTTCTCCACATCCCCTGCCATTTGTGTCACAAAAGCCATATGCTTTTGCCAGACCCTCAGCCATAGTGTTCACATAAAAAATGTTATCAGTCTTTTTGATTTGTTTATTTCTGTCGCCTCTTCTGCCCCTCACTTTTACCAGAGTTTAGTGACAGATTAAATCGGTCAGATCGTCAAATCTGCATCAAAGAGATTAACTATTGTCGCTCTGATCCTATGTCAGCCGTCGTTATCAATTTCGGATTAACAGCCTCAGCCATAAAATATAGTCATGTCGAAAACAATCTTAAGTCGACGCAACTGTGATCTGACAGTCTTGTTTTGTGTTACAGGAGTCTAGCTCGCACTTCACTTGCCGTCCGGGTGACGAGCCAGGTGTGTTGGACTTGAATCTGCGAACCAGCAGATCAGATGGAAAATGCGTAGCTCACCTGTTGGCCGGTACGCTGTCGGGCGTGGCCACTAGATTCTATGGTTCGAGACCCGACGTCAAGCTTGGTACGCATCCAAGCGACCCGTCACTCTACAGGTGAGTCTAGATTCTGCGAAAGCCTATAATATACCGGTTGTCTCATTTTGCTTATACTAATCACTTTATCTCGAAAAATACTAATTCAATCAAAAAGTTGTTTGTTAAAGACATTAAGACTTTAAAAAAAAAATACAAATTTGGTCCAAAATTCAAAATGGCCGACTTACGGTCAAAAATATGTTTTTTTTTTTTAATGGAAACCATGTATTTTTTGTTTATCAAACAAATTTTCTTATCAAAACTAAAAACTTTTGTAGGAAAATGTTTTCGATCAAATCCGTAGCTTGCGAGTTAAGTCTTTTAAGCTATTTTTAGTTATGTTATTTTATTTTGGTGCCTATGGTAACTGTGGTATGTGTAGTAATCTTGGTATGAGTGGTAACCGTGGTATTTTTAGTAACCATAGATAGAACTCAAACCACGTTACAATAATTTCCATGGTTACCATAAATGTAATTTATGCTACACATTACATACTTCTCCAACATGCCTCACATACCACGGTTATTTCATATGTCACGACTACCACACATACCAAGGTTACCATCATCTAGTTGATTTCGATTCAATTTTAACAACGTATTATGGTCAAAAAAACCACGCGATGAAACCAAAATTTTCACTAACTTACAACAATTGTTAAATATGATAGACTATTTAAATTTCGATTAAGCCAACACCTGTAGCTCCAGCTAGAGTTGGTAATCTTTATTTCAAAAGCAAGATGTCCGGTGTTTCTATAAATGTCGTTTCGAATGCCTTATTTCCGAGGAAGTTGTTTCTAGGCAATATAATATAATATATGATATCAGCTATGCGCGAGCGAGACGTTGGAATGTATGGATATTAAACGAACATTAATTTTGATAAAAATATGCTAGACGACAAAGTTGAAGGAATACTCTGAATTTCTTCGAATTTACAAAAATATTATATTCCATCGTATCACGTTTACAAGGTTCGGTCGAAGCCCTCTTCACAAACTAACTACATATTATTTTTTTTGACATAATACAAAGGAGAATCGAAATTTCAACAGCTTTATTTACAATTATCTAAACATGATTTGTTGTGTCTTGATCGAACATCACATGAACTCAAACGTAACGCGAATAATTAATTAAATCAATATACCGAATTTTTAGAACATTTGTCATATTTTTTGTTGAGTTATCGTTGAAATAGTCAAAATACCTTACTATGTTTTGGATAATATTGTTTTTGAAACACATTTTATGAGTAAATTTTCTATACCATGCATAGATTCGATTTACTCTAAATTAGGGGAAGACTATTATTGTTTTAACGGATTACGGTAAAACATATTTTTCATTTAGCTGTTTTTTTTTTCTATAAAAAAAAAATGATATCATAACACTATACTGTTTATTATAAATGCTATGTAGGACACGGTGGCGGGGCGGTAAAAATAAAATTCATTACAACCAGAACATAGTCTCGGGAGTGCCGTTTATCGCGCATACAGTTACCCTGAAAACCATTATTCACATATCTACTACAATACTATAGCTGTTGTTTTTTTATTCACTTGGGCCATGCTCGCTCACACATAAATAATCAACATTGAAATCACTATGCAACGGTCGATGGATTATAATAAATTTTGTTACGCCAAAACCGAATTCCCAACGCCAATAAACGCACCAAACGCGGGTTTATCGAATTATCCAACTAATTCGTACCGGTTAACGACAAATCACTTTAATCTTATGGGAAAATATTATGGCACCTAACCGAGTGCGTTACACACCTTTTATTACAATATTTGTATTTGGGAATTGATTTGAATAGTGCCGCAGTAATATCAAACACTTTATATGTTTTTCACATGTTTAAAGACAGCACATAAAATAAAACGATAATTGTATTTTTTTTTTCATTACTTCTGTAAACGAAAATTGTTTTTTAACGAATTTAACAAACTCTTATTGAACTTAGCTAAAATGTGTTTACCAGAAGGTCTGGTGTGAGCAATTATAACAAACACGACGTACCGATGCAACTATTTGTTTGTAGAGTATCTTCTATAGCAAAACAAGTGATATTTTATTGAGCACACAACCATATAAATGTTCGACAATTTTTTCCTATCCAGAACGGTTCTGAATAAAATGTTAGAATATTTCACAAAGCCGTGTATTTCCCAATATTTCATCTCTAAGGTTTAAAACACGTGGATTGAATTACCAGCCAAGTGGTTGTTAGGAATTACATTATTTCAATATTCGTCTCAAATTACCACTGTTCGAGACAATAACGTTCAGTGTAGATTAAGTTTTGTTTGCGTTTTTTCCGTCATTTGTATTGAAGTAAATCAAGCACTAATAAATTAGAGTACCTAGAATAAAAACAAATAAAGTAACGGTAAAAACACTTTGAAGGAAACGGCAGTGCACTCATCCGGAGCTCTATTAACCCGTCCAACTTTGAACCAGATGTGGGCAGAATACATATTAAACTTTACTGAGTTCATTATTCTGGAAAACCCATTAGACGTACCCCTCGCCCCACCTCTGTTTACGCGTGACACTATAAATGCATTTTCATATTCATCAACGTCACAAATATAACCGGAGTTCCGGGTCTCTAGGCCTATTTGTGTTGACCTCTCGATTTGGGCTTAACAACACTACCGCAAACAGGGTCATCATTATGAATTACTAAACGATTTCGTCTACCATTGGTCAGCCGCCCACGTTAATATTTGACCCTTTTGTCTAGCACACGTTTAAAAAAACATAATAGTTTGTACGGTTTTAGATTAAAAGTTACATAAAAATAATCAAGTTGGAAGAGGATGAAAAACATAAAATTTTATAAAAAATTAAGATGACATAGGATAAAAAACACAAGAAAAAAAATCAATTACTCTTTAAACTAAATGAGTAGATATCTTTGAAAAATATCACCTTGAGTAGGTTTGTCAAGACCGAAATTCTGTAAATACATGCTCAACCCACTGAACTCAATACAGGGTGATCATTTTATCGTGAACCACTCAATATCTCATTGGGTTTAATGAATAGTAGAGTTTTTTTTTTTTTTGTAATCTCAATTTTCCACAAATTGTGATGTTCCTACCATCTCCCGAACTAATCTATTCTTATACCAACTTTTGAAACTTAAATAGTAACTCATACATCTCATTAACTTTTTGAATTGAGAATAATATAATAAAAAAATTGTCTGGTCGATACCCAGTTTTAAATAACTATTTTTGAAGTTATTTAAGTTTCAAGTTTTAGGACAGGAGGAAATGCGGAGTGTAGTATTATTTTTATTTGCGCGCATTTGCCCTTCCGTCCTAAATTTTCAATTTATTATAAATTTAAAAATAGTTGTTATCAACCGTTCAAAATGTTTAGTGAAATATTCTTAATTTAAAAAAATGAATAAAATATGTGCGTTACCACTCAAATTTCAAAAGTTTCTGGGTGATAAAAACAAAAAAAGTTGTGAAAAATTGAGATCATATTGTATAAAAAGCCTATAAAAAAAATTAATGATTCGCGGTTAAAATGATCACCCTGTATAACGAAATTATAAATTCAGTCTTCTAAAGTTTGTCATCTTGAAATTTGTCTACATTAAACGGTTAAAACCGTCTTAGACGTCGACACAAGTCCATTCGTCGGTGGATATTTTTCTTAAAAAAGAATACTGGAGTTTCCTGTGAAAGTTACCCAACGTGTCGTTTGAACTTCTTGCACTGCTATTTTCTTAACCGGCCATAGGAAACAGGCGATAATTGAAACATTTATAACCGCAATAGTACAGAGTGACCCGAATGATGTATAAGACATTTATTTTCTTGGAAAACATGAATATTTGTCATTATTTAAAAGTTATTTGTCTTCATCTCTTGTAGGTAAATAAAGTATGGATGTCGTTTTTTTTCCAAATGTGAACATATTCTACCTGCTCGAATACGGTGACGGTATTTCAACATCTTTACCTCATCTTACCAACGTGACCTTGTCGTTGTAGTAGTACATCGCAGATTACTACATCAGACCATTTGATCGGATCAGAATAAAGAACGAGATTCGCGAATTTTGCATTCAAAGCTTTAATGTTTCGCAATGCAAAAGGTTTAGGATTTAGGTCGAAAAAAAAGATTAGGCGAGATAAAAATTGTACTCCGAGTGGAAAAAAAATGTACGTGGTAAGTAGTAAGTACCAAAAAAGAAGATATTATGTAATCTTGGCCGTTTGAAGATTGTGGGAATTAAAAATAATGATTAGAACTACTACAAGACAAAGCAAACGAGATTAAGCACATACTTAACGCAGTTAATACACCGTGTAATTACCGCGATCACATAAAGTTCACTTAACAGAAACACACTAAGAGGTTTGAAATAATATTACAATATTTATTTAACGTCGATTTGGACAAGTTGTTGTTTTTTTTTTTTTAATCAAAAACGAGTAACATTGAAACAAAATGTCTCGGTAAACATTACATTGAAATGCCGTGCCGTGCGCGTTGTTTGCACACATATATTATATATATATATATATATATAGGAAAATTCGTTGTAAAGACAACTTTCGAACAAACATAAGTTGTTTGTTCGTCTTTTAGACTGTGACAAAGGCAATGGTTCATGATAAAAACATCTTAAGTATTATTGTTAGCTCGACTACTGTGAATAATGTCTCATAGGGTTTAATATGAAACTTAATTTTACCCCCATAATGTTTTTATACAATGTGATGTTAATTTTTCACAAACTTTTTTTTTGTACTTACCTCCTCTTTTTTTTTTTGATAACAACTTTTAAATTTTAAATGGCAACGCATGCGTTTCATTACCTTTTTAAATTGAGAATAATGTAATACAGTTGTTGAATGCGGTAGATAACCAGTTTTGGATAACTATTTTTAAACTTATAACAGTATAAGTGCCACGTTATCGGCCAGCTAAATCATCTATCTCTACAAATCTCTATCGCTATTAATTTATTCACGTCATACATTTCCATGCCTTGATTTGTGATTTTGTGATACATGATCTACAACGACTCTACTGAAATTATTAATAAAATATTTTTGCGATTAGCCCGAAATTGACGAAAGACTAAAGTGGCGAAAATACAATATTAAGTTTAACGGGATAGTATATTTTGCTTCTTCGTCGTGGGAAAAGTAATTAATGTCTAATATTCGAGTGATCCATTCCGTCAGACCATGCACATCATTTCTATTAGACAACACGTCAACACTGTTCATACACTGTTCATACGCATGACTGCTGCCAAACTGTGTGCCAACAATGGCTGAGTTTCTCATTAAAATATTCATTAACATCGATTGTCCTTGGGGTTGGTTTTATTGACTTAATAACACCTTTTCAAATGCAAAAAGTCGATGTGTACGCGAATATTTTTAACAAAACACACATCTTCCGACCGATTGCGCTCATCCCACTGATTCGTCGCAAACTTTATGAGTTGGATTGCTGTTAAATTATCGAAACGTTCTCGGTTATGATCGTTCCCGACTACAAGTTCCGGCATGGTAATAATTAAAAGCTAATAAAGTTTTTTCCATGACTCTTCTTTCGACGGAAATCGAGATAGAAACTGATCACACCCTCTTCGCTCCTATTTGCCCTTATCCCCATCTTTCAATACATGATATTTTGTCAACGGATATTTCTCCAGCAACAGCTCACTCCTCAGCAGATAATTCTCACGTGCCAGTGCATTTTCAGAACTTAATTCGGATTTAAGTTGCTGCATCCTACTAAAATTGCAGATTAGATAAAACCATGTGTTGCACTTGGTTATTCACTGATATCTGCAACCCTCCTCAACTTAGTGTGACGACATTCCAGAAATTAAATTATTGTAGAAAACATATGACTATAACATATGAATATAACATCAAATAATGTTTATGATATATCGGCGATAACAACCAACGAAGTCACTGGTGCTCAGTTATGTAACTATAGTTTTCTCATAAAAATGTTTTTTTTCTACCATGCACAGTGAATGCACAGTACACAAAAAGTTATTAAAATGTTACCTTTAATACAATTTTTCTAAAAAAATATGGACAACCAGTTGCTGCTAAATGAGATAACGAAGCTCTACCGACTCCAACGCGTGCATAAAAAATCTATAGTATACATCAAAGTTTAAGAATTTTTAAGACATAAAAAAATATAATACAAATTAAGTATTATCTCTTGTTATAGAAGCAAATTACAATATCATTCATCTCACGGCAAAAAATAAAAATATTAACATTCAAAGAACTATGATACAGAATCAAAAAAAATCGCTACTCCGATACTGAATTAACTTGTATTAATTAATTAAATTCTAAAACAAAATCACAAGATTTACTGAGCCATAGCACGACACGTATATTTAAAACTATTGATCAATCATTAATTTCTCAAGAAATAAATGAATTAAAATTGTTTGGTAAACCGGGTTTGGTTGGTAGTTCAAGTCATAACTCATACAAGCAAAGAAGTTTCTGATAGTTGTACATTTTTAACTTCGTTTGTTCCTCTTCTACTCAAAACGGTTTCTGCAATTAACGACAAAGTAAACAACGGTTTTTTGTTTGTTTACATTCTCAGCGAACACGTTGCTTTATTAGGAAGTTCATTAGGTTTTTACTAGTCTGTGCTAAAATTTAAAACCTAACTTCCGGTCTAACACAAACGCGAGCATGAGTCATTTACCACGTGTATGTGCATTTGTCTTAGGTACACAATAAGAACGACGGCGGCGACGGATGCCGACGTTGAAGGCGAATCGATTCGAACTCTTTCACATCAAGCCGGCGATCTTAAAATGGGCGTGACCAGTTTCTGCAAAGCATTCCCGTGGCATTTGGTCTTGGACGTTCGACTGGAATTCGTGCAGCTGGGCAGTGGTTTCATGAAGCTGTTCGGCAAGTGTTTGCAACAGTTCGGTGAGTTTATATGATAATATAATAATTTTTGGTTTGTCATCGCAAAAAAAAAAAGTATAATAATAATAAAAAGAAAATCAAAGCTATTCATCGTGCAACGGTTATCGACGGGTGACCTCACACGTGATGTAGTTTATTAAAAAATATATTGTCGATGGTCGAACAGTAAAAAAACCGTCATACCGTCCAGGAAAATGTCATAACGACAACACGTTATTGCGTCGTAATAAATGCCATAGTTTACCCTTTTTGGCGTGACAACTAGATATAATAATAATGTATTGTATTATTGCACAAAAATCACAACATTAGATGTGTCAATATCGTTTCCCATAACTAAACTCCAAACTAATCACTTTTTCACACGAATGAATAAAACGTAACATGTAGTTGATTGTAATACGTATTGGGTGATCCATCCGATGTAAGACACTCATTTTCTCGGGAAATAAAAATATAATAATTTATATTTTACATATTATATAATTTTAATATATGTAAATATTTTCCATACTTTAAACATTTTGTATGAATCTCATTTTTTCAAATGGCAACAGATGTTAAATGTACATATGTTTCAATACTAGTTTTGAAAATACTTAGAAAATGTTTTGGATTTAAGATCAATACTCGTTTGGAAGTCATAGCAAACGAACAGACTGACGAGAATAAAAAAAATGAAATAAAATATTGATAATTTTCGAATAACAGTTATCATAATAATATGCAACGTTTAGATTAAAGGATTATCAGGATTAAAAAAATTAAAAGAACATATAATTTATTACATTCAACTGAAATTGTTTTCATGGGAGTATTATAACCGTATGAAGTATAAGTTTCCATTTGAAAAAAAAACGGGGTCCATACTGCTTTTACGTTCAAGGGACGAAGACAAACATTATCTAAGTATTGAAAAACGTAGTAAAATATTTACCTACAAGACGTGCAGTTACATCATACATCAAATGGATCACCTAACCTTTGTTGATTTTCACAATGTGACGTAGCCAATGAAGGGCATTTCAAATTTATTTGTATCCATTGATACAATCAATGGATTTGTATAACACATATATTCCTAGCGGCACCGAGAACGGTAAGAACACGATGATTGGTAGTATAAACAAAGGCCTAAGCACTCCCCGAGGTTGTGTAAATTCGAACGACCTGAAACGAGATTAATTTTGCCGAAAACTTGTATTGCCCCAAAAACCTTAAAAGACACAGACCGCCATAATCGGCTCAAACAGCTTTGATAATTTTACAGCGTAGCCGCTATAATAATAATAATAATATGTGCAGAATAGCGTATATTGTTACCGGACGACCAACCCCATCAAATAAAAGAGCGCAAAACCATAATGACCGTTCTTTTGTGCACGCCACCGACATTTGTTTGAAACGTTCCATTGATCTGATGTTTTCCATGTTCTGCATCGGGTTTGGGTCACGGTCTACTACATCGCATCGGATAGACAATTTGTCAACCTACACAAAAGCATTAGCTACACAGTTAAATACTTACGGGTTTCGTTTTAATCGAAACGAGACCCTGTAGCGTATCGACGATAAAACATCAACCGCGTTCGTGTCGGTTCTACCCTAAAAACCACTCTACGATGTCAGTCGGATGTATTGAAACACAAATCATGCTTTGTGAGCAAACACAATAATTATTCGTTTTGCAACGTGGCACACGAATGAATGATTTGCAACTAACCGGCTTAACCGGCGAGTGGCCAAAACACAGATTTGCCGGTCACAGCTACTCAACGAAGCTAAAAATTATTGGGAAAACCAGAAGAAAAAGCGATAGAAATTGTTTTTAAATGAAAATTAAACAATTATATTTTATAAGAAAATTAATTAAAAAAACTGACTTAAAAAAACCATAAAAGTAACATGAAATGTTAAATAAAAAGCGAAAATAAATGTTTTTATACGAAAATTTAGTATTTACTTGTTGTTGCGTTTGATTTAATTAAGAACAATTTTTATTTATTATGTAGTTATTAATGGTTTTGAAGTCGGTGCCAAATAAAACATATTTCAATTTTTCGATGAGTTCCTATTTGATTTTGAAGAGTTCCCTGGTGTTTTTTTAGGCCAACACCAATGAAATTAAAATGGAACCACGTTGGAGCTATGCCGAACCTAACGCAAATAGAATCATTAAAATCAGTTCATAAGCAAAGAAATAACTTCTTAAAGACGAATTAAGAACCTCCTCCTTTTTTGAAGTCGGTCGAACCAAACGTCACAAAGACTTTAACAGAAATATTTTTTTTTGCAAAATATCTACCAGAGCAAACGACAATGTATACAAATTGTATTAACAGCGTTTAAAGTTTGCACTCTGCTTAGGACAAACTTACAAACTGTAAGCATATATTAATATGTTTCGTTTACTTGGGGATTTACCCGAGATATCTGAGATGTTTCGAAAGAGATTAATCGAGAGTTTGTTGTTTACTCTGTTGTTTTTTTAAAATAATACACTTGCCGATTACGAATTAATCGCAGTCGTCGTAGTTACAATTTCATTACCAGCAAATCCGTTTTTCAGAGTCTGTGAAAAAACTGTAACGAGCGGGTACCATTAATTTCTACTTTGGATCGGTGGTGTCTTTATTCAGCGTGGGTCATTTTCGAGAACCTCTCACTCGTTCAATTTCACGTTGAACGTTCTCTGTGAAAATCCTGTCGCTCGGTAATAGTATATTGTAATATCTAAAGGTGTTTTGAAATGCAAAATGTCTTGTGATTTCGACTGATGCCTCGCGGTAATAGATTCCGAAAACTCGTATTCGCTTTCATGTGGAAAATGTACGGTTTTCCGTGAGAGAAAAAAACAATTAATGTGGTACCTTAATTTTAACACGGATACGTTTTGCCATTGGGGTTTATTTTAGAATTTGCGTCGTAGGCTCTCGGTGAAGATTTTTACGATAGTGATGACAAACAGCCGATAAACGATTATCGATAAGAAAATAGTGATAATGGCTCCTAATAAGAGAAAGATCAATGTTAAAGAGCACATTGAAAAGCACGGATATAAATAATAAACTACGAGATTGCTAAGCGTACAATAATAGCGATAAGTTACCATTTTCCGCCATCTTTGTGGGAATTATAACCTTATCGTATGTTTTAAACTACTGTTGTTACTACTTATAGCAAAATATATAAGTTATGTTATGATAGCACAGAATCGCAAATATATGTATTATTTTATACACACAATAATCCCACAAAAATGCCCGACGTCGACTTCCATTCTTAGTTAGCAATCTAGTTTATTGTATATATATATATATATATACCTGTGGTGAAAAGTGATATCTGACAACGGCTCCTGATAAGACAATAGTGATAAGCAAAATCGTATAACCCGGTCCGGTAACTCCTTACACGGAAGAGCGTAGCTGTTTTTTCCAATATGGTGGTCATCTGCATGCATTGATCATCCGACACGTTTTTCTTTGTGTGCAAAACATCACGCCGATGACCGCCATATTGGGAACAAAGGCTACGCTTTTCCATGTAGGGTGGATTTCATTGGTTTGTACCTGTTTAAACACAATCATTTGTTTTCCATCCAACAGGCATTTTACGATTAAAATATAGTTTAATTTTCATGGTATCTTATCGACATTCGCTGTAGTTACCAGTAAATAAGGCTTTCCGTGTAAGACGTATTGCCATAATATTTGGTCCTCACAAATAATTTAAACTTGTAATATATTAATACGATACAACATAACCGGATGACATAATAATACACGTGGTTTTTTTATATAGATATTTATTTAATATGAGTTCAAATTTAATATATTAAAAACTGTAATACAATTAGAGAACAATGTAATCGTCTGATATACATTTATTTCAATTCCATTTTTTACAATTTGATTTATTATCTTTGTAGACAAAATGTATGATAACATGTTTAATGATAATTGAAAATTATATTGAAATTTGTTAATTGAATTTGAATTGTCTGCTGAAAAAAATAGCGCTGTTATAACGATATAAATGTTTTACATTTTATAATTAATTATTTAGCCAATAGTGCAAACTTCATAAGGTGTTAGTTTATATGAATGCGTTAAATCTTTCGTGGATTGATATATAATTTATATCAATTCAATTTATATTCATATGCCGACGTTTCATACTCTTTGCAGAGTTCATCTTCAGGGCGATAATGGTCTTGACTGTTTAGCTGCCGAGTCCGAAACGTCAGCATATAACTAGTGACTTGGATTATCCGAAACTCTTTCAAATGGTGCTGCGGTTTATGCTAAAATTTTTTTCGGTTTTCAGAGAATAGCAATTATATTATTTTTTTAATGATTCCTTTTTTATTGAGTATATATTATGAATACCGTGAAGGGGAAACCTTTCAGAAAAGGCAGACCCCAAAGCACATTTTTATTAAACCATATTGGCCGAGATAAGGCCTAATAAAGTACTTATTATTACAACAGCTCTATATTTGGGCACAGAAGTGACCTAAGGAAATTCTGTTTTAAATTTTATTTATACGTTTGTCCCTTATTTAAGATGCCCACAACAAGCGCCATTTATAAAAAATATTTATAAATCTTTTTTACATTAATTTGCTTTTCTCCGTGTAATTAATAAATCATCGTGCTTGTCCTAATTGGCTGACGACCTTTAGCTGCACTATATTGATTGCACGATGCTATAAAAACAAAAAATAGCATTAAGTGATTTCATCAATCTTCCTTATAATATTTCCTATAAATAGTCCTGCGACAACCCGGCATCCGATTAAACTCTATTTTTGTATTATGTTATGTTTGATTATAAATTAATCGTTCATTAAAATAGTTTTATCTGTCCATTTCATAATGCATATGTTATAATTTAGTAAAAACCCAAAAATGAGATCTGAATTGCTGCATAAAAAATAGTTTAGAAAAGAAGAATCACAGTTTAACACTTATCTTCGGCATACAAAATTTGCACGGCCTGATTTTAGAATAACATATTTACATTTAAATTAAGAGGGTGTAGACAAAAAAATCAATAACTAAAATGCATAATTCATAGCAAATACTAGATATTTTATTGTTAGGATATTTTTTTAATTGAGATGCCGCAGTTTTTTGTTTTTGTGGTTCTGACTTATTAAAAAATATTATATACATGCTTTCATGCATTTTGCATAAATTGGGTTTTCAGAAGTAGAAAAGTTTATTAGTTAATTTTTTTTTATTAAACGTTAAGTTTGGATAAATTGTACTTACTAAACAAATAATTATCATGGTGCCTAAATGTACTTTTAGTTTATTACAGTGTTTCATTGTAACTAAATTTTGTCTTTCTTTAAACTTTCTTGCTAAATTAAAATGACTGATTTTTATGGACTGAATTACTGTAAACGTCTTAAGACTGACAACTAACTCTAATGTATTCGTTATTGATTATTGTAGTTAAAATTAAATTTTAATTCGTTCAGATCCACAATGTTAGATGTTTTGTTATAAGTATGATGATTATTCTTAAGAGCAAAAAGTAAACATACTTGAATGTTCTTTTAATTTCAGAAGACCTATGCAATAATAACATTTGTAATTAAATAAAATCAAACGAGTAATAATGTTATACGACGTGTAATCAAAAGGAAGACTATCTTTTTCTATCAATTTAGAAGAATAGGTAAAAAGAATATAATTATAATATATAGAAAATATAAATGTAAAAATAGTTAAATATATAGCTACATTTTTTTTTGCAATCTAGAGATAAGAATAACTTGTAAAAAGAAACTGTGTTTTAGCTCATAATTGAAATTTTGCAAAATGATTCGCACGATTTTGTATTATATGTGATTTATATAAGCCATACATTTTATATTATACTTATCATCGACTACTGTGCCTACTACAATATTATTCATTTACCGATATTTAAGTTAGAACTAGAAGAATTTTTTCATTCTAATTTGTTATGTATATATGATTGTATAAAACTACAATGATTCTTAAGAACTAAAAAGTAAACATACCTTCCGGTAATGATGGATACTCTTTGATTTTTGAAGATCCTATAAAAATAAAAATAAATAATAGTAATTAATTAAAATCAAACGAGTAGTAATATATTATACAACGTATAATCAAAATTCAAAAATAATACAATCGATTTTTTTAATTAACTTGAGAAACTGTTTTTTTAATAGGTATGAAAAAACTGTGTTGTGCAATAATTTAGAAAAGTAAATAAAAATAAAAACTATAACTTTTCAGCTCCGCGTCGAAGCTATTATATATTGCGCTGTTGATATATAATATTATATAGATCTACAATGTGATCATGTAAATAATATATAAGTATGGTAGTTATTCTTGAGAACTAAAAAGTAAACATACTCTTCGATACTTGTTGGGTTTCAGATGAAGACGGAAGATCTAAAAAAAAATATATCAATAGGGTCATTCCACAAGACTATACCAAAAAAATGTTTAACATTTTTATCATGCATTTATAGATCCTTAACGACAAAACAATTTAAAACAAAATTTTGTAATTTTTTTTTTTTTAGACCTAGGTAGTTTGAATTTTAAGAAAAATTGTTCAAAAACACATCATGTTCCCAGCTCTATAATTTAACCACCGATAGTAGTATCGACATGAAACCTGCACTATTAAAATTCTAATTAAGTGTACTTAAACCATAATTAAAAAATAAACAATTTAAAAAAAATATTTTGCTTGTATAAAAATTAAGTTATGTTCTTATGACCCAGTTTTTATATAATCACTTACAACCGCTAAATCGCGCCACACGCACACATTTTCCTCGGTAACGTTCAGCGTGATTCACGCACGCACAGATTTTCTTATTGACCCCCAGCCAAAAAACATATCCATGACAAAAAAAAAACTTAATTGGTTTAAAGATGATATGCCACCCTAATATATATATATATATATATATATATAATTGTGTAGATCTACAATATTAGATAATATTATATAAGTATGGTAATTATTCTTGAGAACTAAAAAGTAAACATACCTGTGGGTACTTGTTGGATTTGAGATGGGGACTGGAATTCTATAAAAAGAAATAATAATAATTGTAAATAAATAAAATCAAACGAGTAATAATATTGTATGATGTACAATCAAAAGAAAGACAATCAGTTTTTTTAATTTAGGAAAACATAATATATATATAATAGTTAAATCTATAACTACATGTTTTTTTCAATCTAGTTCACTAGATATAAAGTTAATTTGTATGAAACAATCTGTTTTGTACAATAATTTAAAAATATAGATAATTATCTCGTACAGGTCAAATCAATTTAATATATTCCTTTAAAACACTTACTTTTGATCCGTTTTTGAATATCTTAAATAAAAAAAATAAAAAAATAATGATTTATTTTATTCTAATAATTTTAATTTTTTTTGTACTTGAACCAAACAATGATTACAAATATCAATATTTCAAAAAAATAATAACAATATAATATACATACTAGCATATTATATTATGTAAAATATAACAGGTGTTCTACTGTTAAAATATATTTCTAATATTTGATACCTATATATTTTGATTATGTGGTTTTGGTTTTTTTTTTGTTATGTTCTAAGTCCAAAAATTTTAAATAATATATAAAATCTCCCTCTTTTTTCACAAACAGCGACGAGTGTTAGTTTAATTTTTCGAGTTTTATAAACTCTTTATCTAATAGAAATTCATAATACCTGAACGAGAAGTATCAGCAACTCCTGTTCGGAACAAAAGCCAAGGAGTAGACACTTCAACCGATTCATTAAGTGAACCTATATAAAAAAGCATTATACAAATAATTATGTGCTTTATCATATATACGCTGCTTGGGTGGAACTAATTATGGTTGATCTTCCATCGATCCTAATAATTTGTTGCAATATTCCTTAATACAATTTTAATTCAGATGAAGATGAAAGAACTATAAAAAAAAATAATAATTATAATAAAAATAAATCAAACGAGTAATAATGTTATACAACGTATAATCAAAAATAATAAGACAATGTATTTTTTTCAATTTAGGCAAACATGAGATAAATATAAAATATAAAAATAGTTAAATATAATAGTACATTTTTTTTCAAACTAGTTTATTAGAGATAAACTTAGTTTGTATAAACAAACTGTGTTGTACAATAATTTACGAATAGAAACGTAGATAAAAATAAAAACAATAACTATTAAGCTCCGCATAGAAGCATTGAACAAGTAACCTAACACTTTAACTTCTTAAAGGTCAAGTGCCAATGCCATTTAGTTATTCATTTAAACTTAACAAGCTCAAGTATAAATATGTATTGGTGATAAAATATTGTACGGATATATTGCGCTGTTCATATATACAATATACATATATATTGTGTATGTATATTTATGTATCTGTTTGGGTCTAAAAGGGCCAATGTCAATTTTGGGCATAAACAAGTTAGTCCGCTAAATGCAAAAATTGAAACATTCTTTATATACTGTGAAAAAATCACACTCCGAGGCAAAAAAAAGAATTACTTATGAAGAGTTTGGTAAAAACATTAACATAGAGAGCCTAATAGAAAATAAAAACTTCAAAGCTCATTTTCCGAATGCAAAGTGTGATTGGCCCTATTAGACCCAAGCCACAGAAAATATATACATGATAGTTACAGATGTTGACCAATGACGTGTAATTTTGGTACACTGTTTTAGTTCATAACTGAATTTTTGCATATATGTGACTTAAACAATGCACGCTTTCTATAAATTACTTTTGTCATTAATTACTACTGTGCCAACTACATTATTAATAATTTATCGATATTTAAATTAAATTGGTACAGTTTTTTGTTCTAATTTGACAAAGTCAATCTATTTAAATGCAATGCGCTATACACAGATTGAGTAAAAAATAGATTAAAAAAAATAGGTCTTTTGTAGTTTACAAACAAATTTTATTCACCTTTGTTTTGCGTTGGTCTTCCGTTTATGACTGAAATACAGAACAAAAACGTTTTTTTAATTTTACTACATCGACCATTAAAGTTATATTAGGCGAAATATATAATAAAAAACACGCATTAGACTAAACAATATGAATATAAAATGTTTGCTAAAAATTCATTTTAATCATATATTTGTAAAAAATCATATATATTTATATTACCAGTAATTGTTGTCAAAATTAAATATGACACAACTGTCATTCTGGTCAAGCTTCCTAATAGTGCCATCCTCATAAATCGCTATTATCGATTGGAAATTGAATATTTAAACAATTATAAATCAACACTGATATTTTATGAAAAACTGTTTAACGATCCAAGAAATCACGACTGGTGAATACTAAAGACAATAAAATTCTGTGTAATACATATAATAAATGCTAAGTCCTCCGTTAAAATAATATTTATATTAAAAAACAAACAACAAAATTCGTACCAAACCATTTGTCGAAAACAACACACATGTTTTTTGTATCCAAAATTGTTTACACAAACCACAGCACTCGGTTTACACTAAATGTATTTTTTCAGAAGGCACATCTGCAGAAATTTTCGTACTCGGTGTTAAAAATTGCCTCTTTCCAACATCATGTTAAAATTTTAACACTCAGTATTATTATAATAATTGTTGTTGCCCGTAATATTTAAACTGTTCTCAGACACAGTTTTATTTGCTGTTTACTCAGATACTGTTTAGTTTTTATATACAGTTATTTAATATACACAAAAAACTAACTTAAAATAAGAGAAAATGCTACGAGAGCTACCTTAAAACCTAACAAAAATAAGATAATTATTTTACTCTAAAAGTAAAATCTATAGCTGTTATATTGTATAAACCAATTTTTGTAATCACCTGAAGTTTTGTTAAGTATTCAAAATAAATGTTTTTTTTTTAAATAACACATCTAACAACTTGCAATGTTTGAGTCATCGACTGAAAAATTAAAACGCATAGTCTACAATGCCATATCTATATATCATCTTGAAAGTCAACTACCATCGTAAATTTCGTATACTGACATGTTTGATGGATAATTTTAATTATTATTAAAAAACAAAAGTGTCAGGAAAATCAAATTTAACTTTTTAATGGGTTTAAATTTTTTCTCAAAGCTAGTATACCATATTGTTAAATGTTTAAATGAACAATAATTAAATATCCCATATTTGTCTAACGGGTATTGAATTGTAGTTTTTACATATTTTATTGCCATCACCTTTTTTAATGATTACGTTGAAAACGGTATGAAAAAGCAAATGGTTACAACAATTTTAAATGTATGTATGTATAGTTTATATACGGCATATTTGCTGGCGTCAGCAACGATAACAACCTCGCATTCAAACACACGTTTTTTTTTATTTGCTTAGATTTGTAGCCAGAAAAAAAATAATTCTTATACCACTGAAAACAAGTTTCTTTAAAATTAAGTCTGGTAATTAGCGATTGTTTAATTATTTTTATATCACACAAAATTTGATTGAAAAAAAACACAGCACAACCGTCAAATATATTTAAAATCATTAATTCGGATGATTAACAGAAATGTATTATATTTTATAAAGTGACACTTTAAATGTTCACACTATTTATTATTTTCACATTATTAATTAATGGAAATTGATAAAATTAAAAACATAATTGAACGGTCATTATAAAATGTGTATACATCAATTATGTTATGTCATTAATTAAATATTATAATCAAAAGGAGTATATATTGTGTAAAATGTAAATACAATTGAATGTTAATTCTATTTGCTTGAAATTTATGCTTACTATTTATTACATAAGAAAAATTAAAAAACTTGAATTTAAACAATTATATCATAATACATTTTATGTAACATAAATAATTCGTATGACACTGAAAAGATAATTATTACTTTTAAATAGCAATATCAATATATTATAAGATATGAGTAAAATATGAATTAAAAACTACAATATGGATTACAACAGAATAAAAATTTTTTTTGGAAACCGAGTGAAGTTAAAATACGATTCAGTATTCTGTAGTGAAAAAAATATTACATTATAACATAAAAAACAAAATGTAAAAATAATAATTTAAACCACAACGAATGTTATTAAAATAAGAACTTTAACTATTACTTACATCTTTTACAATATCGTCGAGCCTAAAAATAAAATATCGTATCAATATGGTGTTAATGCTTTTAGTAACCCTTCCCCCCCTCTTCTTTTTTTTTTACTAACATATACCAAAACATTATATTTTGTCGTTAAAAAATTTGAATTTCCAAACTAATTTCAATGACAAAGCTGAGACATTTTATATAGTTCAACACATCATTGGTATTATAATAAAGATTAATCATTTTTAACCATTAACGATAATGAGACTTCTTCAATGTCTTCTTTATTCGATAATTAATGTGCCATAATATATCACTTACTTACTTTTCAAAATAGTTTAACATTTATTTTAGATGTTTAATGAGTCCTGAAAAAAAATGATATGTTACAATAATAATGAGTTTTTAAACATTTTGTTATATCATGCCTAATATTTAAAAATGAATGTACCTTTATGTTTGCGCAGCTCATATCCATCTAAAAAATAGTAAAGTAATAATATTAACAATATAAATATTGTTGACAAAAAAAATTTGAAAAATAAAAATTTTTCAAAAATTATTTTTTCTGATCCATATCTAAACATATCTATAACTTTTAAGTATGTACTAACCCATATAATTCCCATTGTTTTCTAGAAAAAAATAAAGTTATAATAGACCAAAATAATTTAATATTTAATACAGTAAATATTATTAATTTATCTAACAAATCATACTGTACGACATACCGATAGAATCCTCTTCGGTTACTAGAAAGAAAATAAAGTCATAATAGCGCCAAAGATTATAGTTACATATTATTATAAATGAATCGATAGAAATCACAACAGGGTAGTCTATTAATTGTGAGACACTCTTTTCTTCGAAAATGATTAAAATTTTGTATTTTTCCTTGTGGACAAATAATTTTAGTTCACGTTTTTCTTACAATATTAGATAACATTGAAATTTGTATCTCTTTTGATAAATGTCATAGCTTTATCACCTTTTAAAACTTTGACAATAACGCATATATTTTATTAAACATTTTGAAATAAAAATTTTAATTGATCCATTAACAGTTTTAAATATTTAATTTATATTTATTTAAGTTTAAAATGGGAATTCGGGTGAACAATAAGAGCATATAAAAATACCCATCCAAACTTTCATAACTTTATATTAAAATATACTCAACATTGGTAATTGTCCAATCAAATTGTTTAACAAGTGTGTAAGGATAGAGTGTAGTGTCTTATATCACTCAACCGCATTTCGCTTGCTGTCATAAACTTCAAATTTTCATAAGCAATTATTTTTAAAAAGTTGATAGAGAGCTGTGAAATTTACCAAAAAATACTAAAATTCGAATATTGTCTAATAATATAAACTAAAACGACTGTCCCCCAAAAAAACTACAAAATGGTTATTATTTTCAAAGAAAATGTGTGACTTACGTTATATGGACCACCTTGTATATTAAGAAAAATGTAATTAAACGTAAATTGTTATTTATTTATTTATCTAAACGTGTATACATACGAGCAGTATGGTCTTCGTATTCTGTAATTAAAAAAATGCATGAAGAATAACTTATATTAAATATTGTAAATAGTTCGTAACTATTAGTTACATGTTATAGTAAATAAATTTAAAAGTTAATAGAAATACAAAGAGCGGTTGGTTAACTATGACCCAGCTAATAACTAAACTCATAAAAACAATTAAATTATATATTTTAAACTTTGACAATTTATTATAGATAATTGATTATATTTTTAACAAATTATTCTAAATTTAAAAAGTTAATAAACTATATATATGTTACTATTTTAAAATCTTAATTCCGTAAAGTTTTACCACATAAGACTTATTATGTCATAAGAGATGGGGTTATAATTTAAAAAAATACAAATTTAATTGAACTATTATCTATAAAAGTATAAAAATAATAAATGTTCTAAGTTATTGACCGGGGTTACCAATCACTCTGTATTAAAAAACAAATGTTGCACACAAAGACTTTTATAATTGGTACAAAACGTATATTATAAGTTATTAGTTATTTATGTTTCCAAATGCGTACATACCGGATTGGTTATTTGGAATGGAGGGATAATCATCCTCTTCGTTTTTAAAAAAAAAATTAAGTTATTATAGTCCAAAATAAATTCATATTGTTCATAGTTACAGGCAGTTATAAACTATAAAAAGACAATTTACATAAATTATTAGCTAAACGTACACTTACCGCCAGTTCTATCTTGGCTATCTGAAAAATAAGTAAGTTATAATACTACAAAGAGACCAATACAAAAAAGAATTGTGCAATTTACTCCAAATTAACAATACTAGGTATGCTAATTGATACTATTAGTCAAAATATAAGAGTTTACACAAAATAATCTGGGTATATATGTTGTATTCATAACGTTCAAAATAGAAATGAATAATAAATTCAGTAATTTAAGGGGCCAAATTCTCTATGAATTGTTTTGGGCCAGATATTATGAAAACACTAAAATATTAGCCAGAAACTTGATATGTTTACTAGCCACCTTAGATACATAAAAATGTATCCCGTGGTGTTGCGGACTTGTACTCAAGCTGTTAAAATATACTGTGTAATACCTATGTGAAAACCTTTAATAGAGCCTTGCAAACCATTCTTTTTTAATAGATTAGCAGGAATAATACAATTTTACAAAGAACAGACTTAAATTAATTGTTAATGAATTACTAGCCAAGTAAATGTTTTGCCAATAAATTGATTAAGGCCAATTATTTAGTTACGTTTACAAAAAACGCCAATAAAATAACTTATTCTAAAAATGTAATTCACAAGAATATAATATAACATACCGTTTCCAGATGTGTTCCTTATGTCGTTTTGAAGCCATACTTCTAGACTATCTATTAAAAAAAAAAATTGTATTTATACAAAATTAAGTCAAGAAAATTATACGATATTATAATATTAATATATTTATAAGTAAAAATTTTGATTACAATTAGGGTCGCGTTGTCATCAAAATACATTTTTATGAATAAACCGTTCAATAAATAAATATAGGGAAGTTAATATTACTTAATCGTACAGGTTAAGTTCAAATATATTGAAAACACTCACCAACGGTAGGGGTTCCGTCTACGGCTGAAATACAAAATAAACATTAACTTAATTATAACATTTGTTTTAAAATAATTTACATACAAATTTTTTGTAAACAAATATAATAATAATATATAATACCTGTAATTACAGCGAAAATAACAAACGACAAAACTGTCATTCTGATAAGACTTCTTAATTTGAATGACATCCTTAAAACCGCTGTTTTAATTAAAATTCGTTCAAGTCAAGAAAACACAACCGGCAAATGGCAAAGTAATATAATATTCTGTGTAATTTATACATACTGTAAAATCCCCCATTAAATTATTATTTATATTTTATAACAAACAAAAAACATTGGCATTGTTTGTTTTTAGCCTAACCTTGAGCGGAAGAGTAAACTATCCAAGACTGTTGACTTAAATGCCTGCACTAGATTGTATAGAAGATGTTTTTTTTTTCAAGGTACACTTGCTATAATATGTGTAGCCATTATTTAAATTTGCCCATCTAACACATCACGTTAAAACTATTAACGATCATACCTAAGCAATTAAAGCGGTCGGCACAATAACAAAACATCTTGAGTTTTTATAATTTTTTAAATTTTCCAGAATGATCGAACAAAATTCTTTAGCCCATTTACTTCAATAAGTGGGAATAATAACAATGGGACAATAATGTGTTAATTGTGCGCTATAAATTGCTGTTTGTTGCTCTAAAATTTAGGTAATTGTTCCGTGAAAAAAATTTTTTTGACAAAATTGGATTTGCCATACTATTGCACAGACGTTCTCAATTTTTTTTATCTGTATTATTTACACAAGTTGAAAATTGAACACAGACACGATTCAGTTTGTTTAACGGCACAGAAATATACCATCCGACGATATTTTTTGTAAATATGTTGTTGTATACATAAAACACCAACTTGAAACAATGAAAAATACTATAAAAATGACCTGAAAACCTAAAAAAACACAAAATTATTTATTTATAGACACAGAAACTACTGCAGTTTATAGTCTTACTGTGTAAACCAATTTTTAAAAACACCTAAACGACTAATGATAAAAGTTGTGTTAAATTCATGAAATACATTTTTTTTTGTAATTTCTAACACGATGTGCAATATTCAACTTAATCTTATTTAACAAATAAAACATAATATAGTCCACAATGCCATATACCATAATGTATTATGTACCATCTTGAAAGTCAACTACTATAATAGTAGTAGTATGGCTTTTCCATCGATTAAAGAATATAATATAGTTTTTTTTAATTTTGTACACTAATATGTTTGATGGATATTATTAACGAGTATTGTAAAACAGAAGTGTTAGGCAAATCTTTAAATGTTTAACAAATTTTTTAATTTTTCTGAAAACTAATATTTCACGTTGTTGATGCTTTGAATGAATAATAATAAAATATCTGAAACTTCACTTTTCAATATTATTATTTCTCAAAAATCATATTTTGAGCTATAAATTAGTATATAGATAGGGAAGTATTTGAATATTGAGCATATGAGAATATTGTATAAAGCTAAGAATTTATAAAAAAAATCATGATATTTGTATATTTAATACAATTTTTATCATTAGTTATTTAGATGTTTTCAAAAATTTGTTTTGTACAACAATACTATAAACTGTAGTTTCAGTGTCAAAAAAAAATTATTATTTTGTTTTTTAGGTTTTATAATATTTTTACTTATTTCAAATTGGTGTTTTATGTATATAATAATAACATATCATGTAGAAAAATATCGGATTGTATGTTACTGTGCTATTAAACAAACTAAATCGTTCCTGAGTACAATATTTTAAACTTGTGTAAAAAACACTGGTAACAACAATGGAAGACATAAGTGCAATAATATAGCAAATCCAACTTTTTCAAAAAACATTTTTTCTTAGAACAATTATACATTATCTACAGTTAAGAGCAACAAACAGTTATTTACAGTGGACTATTACTTTAACTTCCCACTAATGGTAGTAAATGGAATAAAAAGGGAAATGGGGAAAATCCACCATAGTAATCAAAAGAGTTGAAATTAATATGTATAAGAATAAGATAATTTTCCATTTTATTTTTGCGATTTTTCCATTAATTTTTACCTAATTTTGTTTTTGTTTTACTTAACGTTACTATGGAGATCCCAATTTGAAATTTACACATTTTGTGTACCATTATCTCAGTTTTCTAAAAAGAATATTAGAAAAATTCTCAATCGGGCAACACGCAAAAAACAATTTTTTAGATTATAAATAACTCCATTTTAAATTTTAATAACTTTCTGTTACTCGAATAATAAATAAACATTTTTAGTGTTTGACCCATAATACTATATTTCTACAGTAACTTAGTAACAAAATGACTGTTGCAATATTGACACCTTAAATAAATATTTATTCGATTTAAAACTTTATACATTATACAATTGTTTCCCTAAAGTAAGCAGTTACTGAAAAACAATCTTAAACTGTAAAATAAATTTGTTTTGATCGAGTTATTCTCATCGGAACTTTTCCATGACAAAACGATTTTATATTTTAAATTAGAGATTGATAAGTGATTTTTGGCTAATACTTTAAGGATAAAAACAAATAGGAATAAAAAAACCAAAGCTAAATTAAACAAATTAAATATAATATGTGTTAATGTATTATGTTGTCATCAATTAAGAATTATAATCAAGAAATTTATCAATAATGTAAAATTTAAAGACATTTTAATGCTAATTTAATTTCTTACAATTTAATACATAATTAAAAGGTTTAACTTGTATTTAATCAATTCATTCGTAATAATTTTTTTGTAAAATAAATAATTTGCATAACACTAAAAAAAATAATCAAAATTACTCTTAACGAACAATATCAGCATGTAAATATGAATAAAAAAGTGTAAAATAAGAAATGTATCATTTTAGAATAAAATAATTTTTTTGAAAATTGATTGAAAATAAATTACGGATCAGCAATCTATAGTCAAAACATATGAAATTAAACGCAAAAAAATACTATATAAATAAGAATTACTTATTCTATTTACTTACACGTTTTACAATATGTGGCAGCCTAAAAATAATTTTTTAACCGACACTAAAAAATATTTTCAATAGAAAAATGTGAATTTCCAACTATTATAAAACTCATTTGTTGTACATAGGTAATTCCATAGAAAATTTTGTTTTATTATTATTAATCATTTTTAAACTATAACTATAGTGGGACTTTTAGTATTTTTTAAAAATTAAATTATTTTACTTGGTAAAAGTAGAATACATATTCCACTTAAATAATTTTAGTATACTCACTTCGATAGGCTGATATTAAAACAAACGTTTTTAATCATTGATGATGGTCATAAAACAAATAAGTTAAATGTATATTTTATTTTTAGCTTTGATGTGTAGCTGAGAAGGTTTGTTTACATAGATGTGTTTAAGTTTGTTTATTGTACATCCACGATATCATTTAAATTCCCGAACCGGTTTCTTTATGTGGCAACATTATAGATTAGAAAGAGTACCCGAAATATACTTATTTATTGGCCAAATAATTGAAAAGTTTACCTCTTTCATTTCAAATTTGAGAAAAACATCCAACATGTTTACATATTTTACAACTGGAGTAAAACGCCTTCTGCATAGCTATGTTTAAACGAAAAAAATATTTAAAATCGCTGTCAAGGATGCTGCGATAGTCATAAAAAAAGTGATTAACAAAGAGAATTCTAATTACTGGAATAATAATTGCGCGTAAAAAAAAGCTTAAGCTTTTGATTAAGATTTTGCATAATATGTCAAACGCAATAAATATTTATTAATGTTGTTTAATCATGAACGGATTTTAATTTTTAAAAAATCCCACCCCACATAATTAACTCGGTTTAAAAATAATTGTTCTACTTATTACATTGATTAACTCTTAGTAGTTATTTAATAGTCCCAAGCGATTGGAAAACCGCAATCAGCTGCCCGATATCAGTGTTGGGCGTAATCGATTACTTTATGATTAAATTACATGATCGATTACAACAATGTAATCATCATTAAATTAATCATTAATCAGATTACAATTTGCCCCATACTGCCCGATGCATTATAAAAAAGAAGACCCCATGAATACAGTAACTATAGAGGGATTTCACTCTAAGGCATAATTGGTTACTACCAAAGCGGCATTGTGAGAAGGAAATCGACCACATACTCTATTTTTTTATTATCAGACAACTTATAGAGAAGTACTACGAATTTGGCAGAGAAGTGCACCAGTGCTTTGAGGACTTTAAACCGGCAAGGAAAGACAAAATATTTAGTTATATGAAGGGAAATGTGTGATGAAACTGATCTTCAAGTTGATAGTTGTGACTTCTAAGTTCCAGAAAGTAACAGACTTCATGTACTTAGGAACTAATATAAACAACAAAAACCATAGTGTTTCACACCGAAATCAAATTTAGAATTGGGTCAGGAAACAAGGGATATTACGCATTGGGAAAACTGTTTAAATCAAAACTCCTATCCAGAAGATCAAAAGAATACCTATATACCAGCTTTCTACGCCCGGTATTGACCTATAGGTGTGAAACCTGGTCAGTCACTAAAAGAGATGAGGAAAAGATGAACATTTTTGAAAGAAGAACTGTACTACGCTAATATATGACCCCATAATATTAAGAGTGGAGAACATGGAAAACGAACAAACTAAGAAATTTACCAACTATTCCAAAAACCCATTATCAGTGCGTATTAAAAAGTAAAATATTAGAATGTGCTGGTCATATTTGGAGGTATATTTGCTAAAGGTATAGCGAACAACAGTTTGTTGGTGGGAGACTGGGTGTAATTTGAATTTGATGCTATTACTGTAAACTAAATTAAAATCCCTTATATATTTTTAAACTATAGCAAGTGAAAGCTAGAAATTGACAAATCGTAAAAAATGTATCGTGACCTCAGAGTAATAATAATAGTTACACAGAAAAACACACACACTAAAAAATCCCACATCATACTATTAAGGTTAATTAGGCTAACTATAGAATACAATTTATTTCACTGAGTTATTCTCACTGGAACTTGACATCAATATTTGGTCATTTTACTTTAATATGGATAAAATAATCAAAGCATAGTTGTATGAATATAGTATATTATTGCAATTAATATAATATAATTTAATCGCACGATATTTACTATACAAGAAAATGCGAAATCTTGATTTTGACCTATTGGTATTATTCATAATACACTTTTTATTGCATCAATAAATTGTGTAACACTAAAAAGATAATTATAACTCTTAACAGACAATATTAATATGTAATGTATGAATATAATAGTGATAATATTACAAAATATACTATTTTAGGATAAACTTATTATTTTTTTAATTGAGTGAATCAATCTGTTCACAAATCAGCATTCTGTAGTAAAAAAAAAAATGAAATTATAAACAAAAACCAAATTTATATAGAAACAATTTAAACCCCACGAGTGTTATTTAAACAAGAACTTTTACTATTACTTACATCTTTTACAACATTTCAGAGCCTAAAAATAAAATATCTTATCAATATGGTATCAATGCTTTTCACTATCAATGATGACAATGCTCAGACGTTGAATGTTGACAAAAAAAAATGTTATTTCAATATTATGATTAAATATTTTTATCGAACATTCTATATAGCTCAATATTGTATTCAAGCGTTAACTTTGATGACACTTTTAATATTTTTTAAAAAAATGAATTCTTTTGACAAAAGTAAAATAAATATTAAACACATTAGTTTTTAGTATACTCACATATTGGACAAACTGAAATTAAAGCAAACCTTTATTTTATTAAATGATGACTATCATAAAACGAATCAATTTTTTAATATAATAAATAAATTTTAGCTTCGATGCGTATCTAAGAAGATACTGTTTTTTTAATGAGATTTTTTTTTTGTGTCTAGACCTAAAATTACGTCGCGCTTAAACGAGTCTAAAAGTTAACAGATTTCTAAAAAAAATCGTTATACTGTTAAATAATCATATTGTCTTGCAATGAAGTAATCGATCCTTATTTCGATTAAAATATTTATAAGCCAGCAATAACTAATATTATCATTATTATTATTTTTTATTATCCTTTATTGGGAAATATGATGGCTTGAAATAACTGTTTATGTTTATTAAGTTTCGTTTATTTCTTACCTTGTGTCAATTTATTAACTGGAACTAAAATTAAAAAAAAAACTATATTAGCTAAGTATTATTAGTGTTATTATTAAATAATAAAAATTGAACATTACAAAATACTAAGTTATCTAAAATCAATGTAGTGAAACCCATCAAGAACATAAATATTCATATGAATATTTTGTTCTAAAAATTTGAGCGTAATGGAATCGTTGGCCGAAAATGATGTAGGCTAATAGTTCATATAAAATAATTTAAAAAATAATAAGTTATAAATTATACACCAAATTTAATACTAATTAATTAATTTTTTATAAATTTTGTCAAATATTTTTCTTTATTTGTCCAGTATTATAGTTGATCCAATAATTTTTTAATAATGATATTTTACCATAAGCGGATTGGAATTGAAAAAAAATCTCTTCCTATATAATTAACTCAATTTGATAATAATTGTTCTACATTTTAAATAGAAAGTATGACTTAAAATTTTAATAGTTAATCAATTACCGCTTATCTACATATTTATAATATTATTAAATAAAATGAGAGAATTTAAAATAATTTTTATTACCCAAACAACGACCGCATACTGAAAACAAAAAGTTAGACAATAACAATTATGTGCGTTTAGGTATAGTTTATTTTTTTAGGTCTGATTTACTCAAAGCTTACCTAATCGAAATATCCGAAAATCAGTAAAAAAAAAAAGTAATATATTATACTTTAATTAATAGAAAACTTAAGTTCGTGAGAATTAAACCAACTGAAAATAAATCTGGAATGATTTTAGTATCTGTTGCATCAAGAACGGGTCTGTAGTTTTAGCAGAAACTACTAAGAGATTAAGTAAACATAACACATATGTATTTTGTAAAATGTGTAATTGTTTAGAATATAAAAATTAACATACTTTTTCCCTTCTTCTTGTCAAGCTCTTGAAAAAAAAACATTTATGATAATTATATACCATAAGAAATGCAAAATTCACAAAAACTATTATTTACTTATCTACTTAAACGTATACATACCGCTAGTTTGTACTTGAATTGCTATAAAATAGTAAATTTATAAAAAAAAATCAATGAATTCAATTTTTGACCAAGTAACGTGTACTTATATTAAGTTGTAAATAAATGCAAAATTCACAAAAATTACTAATTGCTTATCTACTTGAACTTAGGTATACATACCAGAAGAAGATGGTTGTGCTGCAATAAAATGATAAAATTACTCCACTTAGTTCAAAATAATTTAGTACTGCATATAACTACATGAAATTATAAATGAATTAAAAAAATTATAGAAATAAATATATATTTAAAAAAAAAATAATGTTATGTAAATGATTATTTATATTTTGTAAATGTTACATACCGACGTCGACTTGTTCCTGTTCGGTTTCTGAAAATAAATGAAGTTAAAATAAGCCAATAGGACCAAAATAAAAAATAAATCATGTATAAACTAAGCCAAATAAACAAGTTTAAGTACTTACAATTGGCACGATAATAAAATATATTATTAGTCAAAATATAAGAGCTTTTATGTATAATCAACGCCTAAACCTGTAGCTCTTTAATTAGATATATACTTTTAAAATATAATATACTGAGTGATTCATTTAGGACAAGGAACTTAAAATGTCTAATTTTTTTTCTTACTTATTTACATAAACGCATTAATACCAATATGTTCTCCTTCTATAATTATTCAAAGGGACGAATACATTTTTTTTTTTATAATATTAAAATAAATGATCAAGTTTAGGTACATGCTAAGTATAATAGTGAAAACTATTACTCAAAATATAAGAATTAATAAAAAATAATCACCGTCTAAACTTGCAGCTTCCTCTTCTAAAAAAATATATTTTTTATAATCAATGAATTAAATTATGGACACTGTAACGTATAATTGTATATTGTAAAAAATGAAAAATTCCAAAAAAAACGCAATTGGACCAGCTATTCTTTAACGATGTACATACTATCAAATTTAACATTGTATAGGTGATTTCACCTTATCATTATATTTAACATTTTTTGAGCTTTCTAGTGCTATTATTGTATAAAAACTGATATATTCTGTACGTATGTCTTAATTATAGGTACATATTTATTATTTATTAATTTATCCAAACGTGTACATACCTGTAGAATTAGGCGTTGCGTAATCTAGAAAAAATATATTAAAATACAAGATTACAAGAAGCCAAGAATAATTTAAAGATATTATGTATTAATTTGAAAAAACTATGGAAATAAATATATTATTAAAAAACGAAAATTGTATGTTAATATAATAATTTAAATAAAATGTCACGTATATTTTGTGCAAATTATGTATGAATTATTTTTTATGTATGTTTTCATACGTGTACACTGGACATACATTTCGTTTTACAGAAAATAATGTAAATAATTTCAGGTTATTATAGTCCAAAATAATTAATTAAATTGGTATGATTATAGAGACTTTTATTCAAAACATAAAAGTTGGTACAAAATAATCACCGTCTGAACTTGTAGATTCTCCATCTAAAAAATAATACATTTGTTATAATAAATGCATTAAATATTGTACTCAGTAAAGTATAATTGTATATTATAAAAAAATACAAAATTCCCCCAAAAAACGTAATTGGATCAGCTGTTCTTTAACGAAGTACATACTATTAAATTATAAAAAGGATTTCACCTTAAAATTATCTTTAAACATTTTTAAGTATCTTAATACTGTTAATATATATAAACTGTTGTATTTATTAATTTATCCAAACGTGTACATACCTGTAGAATCAGGAGTTGCGTAATCTATTTAATTTAAAACTGTAAGTTAATATTATAAATAAAATAAAATTTGAATCATATTTTGTTCATATAACATATCAGTTATTTTTTATTTGTGTTTTCAAACTTGTTAATACCTGTTATTACACTTTCTTCGTATTCTAGAAAATAATAAAACAAAATATATAAGGTATGGTGTTATAATTTAATTTAAAAAACGATAGTAATAAATATATCGTTACAGAATACAATTTAAAGAATATTGTGTGCATATTCAATATCAATTATTACTTATTTATGTTTTCTAACGTGTACATACCGTTTTGGAGAGCCTCGTATAAGGCAGCTGGATCACCTTCGTTTTTTAGAAAATAATTAAAAACATTTAAGGTTATTTTTGTTCAAAATAATTAATTGGTAATAAAAATAAGTATGGCCACAGGAACTTCTAGTCAAAATTGAAGAGTTTATACAAATACATTTCAGTCTAAACCGGCTCTTCTTTAATTAGGTATACTATTTTATCGTATACCTTAGACAGGGTGATTCATTAAGTATAAGGCACTAATTATTTCTTAAATAAATAAAAGTTGTACTTTAATAAAATAATGTAAATATAATTTGACGTATATTTTGAATGAATTATTTTTTATTTATGTTTTCAAACGTGTACATACTCTTTCGGAGACATCTTTCTACGGCACCACTTTCTAGAAAATTAAAAATAATATAAGATTATTATAGTCCAAAATATTTAATTAAATAGGTCTGATTGTAGAATCTACTAGTCAAAATATAAGTATGTTAACATTACATATATGTTATAATACATACCGGCAGCTTCTCTTTCGAGCTCTGAAAATAATTAAACTATAGTAATCCAAAGGGACAATCAATACAATCAATAAACGTGCGATTAAATAAAATAAATAAAAGTGATATCGAAAAACTACAGTACAGGCTTAGAATATTAGTTTAGAGTTTAGACAAAATTATTTTATAAAAACAAATGTATCAATTTTAAATAATTTATAAATTGTTTATTTATCGAAACGTGGTAACATACGCTCTAGGTGGTTTTCTGGGTAGATTTCCGATGACTCATTTCCACTTTCTAGAAAATGTTTAGGAGTCAATTATTGTATAAGTGTAATTGGGATAACAACAATTATGTCAGTCCGGTGCAATAGTGCACATAGTAACGAAAAAGAAGTATTTCAATGCACCTATTCCCCCCAAGCCTAAAGATTTTTACTTCATAAATTGCCAAAATATAACTTATTATCAATCAACCGTAGTTTTCGGATTAACTACGTGTATAAAACGGACAACCAATTAAAAAATATAAATTTGTTTTAGTATAATATGTTATTTTTTTTTTGTATAATACAATTATAAGCATTACAAGCATCTATAAATTATTATTAAAAAAAAAAAAATCCAAAGAGGATAATAATTGTATATACCATTTGACCCTTTATCTTCATCCTCACTACTTCCTGCATACAAATAATAATTGTATTTTATAAAATTTGGTAAAAGATAGATATAAAATAGGTATAAAGTTAATTAGTACGAATAAACTGTCCTATACATTTTAATAGGCAATTGATTACTAACTAGTACAAATTAAATCAAATGTATTAATACACTCACCTTCGGGTCTTGCGTTTATGACTGAAATACAGAAAAAATATAAACTTAATTTTATTACAACAATCATCATAATAATAATATAATAAATATACAGTAGACTGAACGATATGAATATTTGAAGTATGCTTTTAATTGCAATAGTAATTTGAAATAATTTACAATAGTGTATATTTTGTAAAAATATAAAATATATTACCAGTAAATATTGCCAAAATAAAAAATGAAAATACCGTCGTTCTGGTTAAGATATTTTTTAATGCCATCCTTACAAACGGCTGTATAGGAAAAAAAATACAATTTATACAAATGGCTCAATGTTACAAGTTATTTTACGATTAAGTATCTATGACTTGTGGATGCTAAAATAATACCATAAATGAGTTAATACAACATGCGTACTGTATGATTGACTAATATTGTATTTATATTTAAAACAAACAAAAAATCGCATTATTTGTTTTTATAGCAGACCTAATGCCGAAAACAAGTCATATATATTTTTGTAGCCAAAACTGTTGACTTAATTGAGTATACTAAATTTACATTAGGTATATTTTTTTTGAAGATAAACATGCGGCGATATTTAAAAAATGCTTCTCCCAAACATCATGTAAATCTGAAATATCAAGGTTATTTAATTGAAAATATTTGGCTTAAATTACTTAAATATAATATTTTTATAAATTATTACTATGAATACTTTCTAATTTTAATAATTAAGCCTTAATGTATCTAAAAAATGATAATAGAGCAAAACAGGTTAAAATTTTAAAAATTTTAGAAAAATGAGTGCTTTTTGGTTGCATATTTTAAAAGTACAAGTATTTATAACATGAAAGTGAATTTACAGGATGATCAACTTATCGTGTACCACAAACAATATTCTATAACAATTATTATTATTATCATCAGAAAAACGGTCTTCGCTATGAAAAATCCAAACCAGAAATAAAAAATGTTGTAAGTCGAAATTTACACCAAAAACAATCATCCCGTATTGTTGTGTACTGTACTCGATTTGCTATGTATGAAAAAAATATGTAAAGGTATTTATCAATAATATATTTTTTTGTTATTTTTTGCAGGTCGTTCGGTGCACACATACTTTAAAATTAAAAGACCAAAAAACGTGCGGCTGACTTTTGAAGGAATAGTAAACAGAGCCAATTCTCCGTTTGTGTTAACGTTGTGTTTACCAGAACCGTTGAAAAATCACTTGGCCGAGGTACCTAAATATATTATACTTAGTATATTATATTATTTCTATATTCTAACAACCACTCTGTATAGTTTTTTTTTAATTTCCCCTCCGTAAATCCGTGTTAAGCTAAAAAAAAAAGACCGGGGCACAGTGGTGACAAAGCATGTCAGAGAGGGGGAGTTCACAGACCTACAGAAATTATTACAACTTAAAGTGATAAAATCACTTTTAAATAAACCCTTTGATGCGTATCTGTAGATATACAAGCAAAGTGAAAAATTTCAATGAAATTGTACTTTAAGTATTAACGTGGATATACCATTAGGGTCGGTCGTCGGTTTATAATAATGTATTGCCATAGTTACTCTTATACCGTGTTTAACAGTATATTGAAAATATTTTTTACTGTTTCCAGTCAGCAAGTTAGAACCTAGAAATTGATTATGGTCAAAGTGTAATTTTTCATTTTTGTTTTCTTAATAAAAAAAAAAAAGCTTGACTAGAGGTTTTGAGAAAATTATATTATACTATACTATAGCCCCACACTGAACTACCATAAGTCTATTTTTTATGTCTCAAGCAATAAAAATTTGCTGAAAAAAAACCTAGGTATTTCTCACTCCACGGAAAAACATTTAATCATAGATATGTTACCTTAAGTTACTTACATGGTATATCTTATCTCTTATCACTTATATTTCGTCTCTCATCTCTTGTCACTTATTTCTTATCTCTAATAATTGTATTTTATATTTATACATCATATTTACTATAGGTATATATATATATGTACGATTAAAAACTCAAATTTCGCCGTTAGGAGGTTTTACGATACCTCAGTGGTGAATTGGGCCAAACTGTTTTTATTAATATTGTAATCAACATGATGCTAATAACTATTCATTCTTGGCCAATAAATTATTATCTTATCTTATCTAGTGTTTGGCCTAATAAAGTACCTTTCGTGTACGCTTTCTGAACTGTAGAGTTACCTCGTGAAGAAATCGGTTCTGGGATTTAGAAGAAACCGTCTATCTAGAAGCTAACATAAAAAATAAAATTACATCATTACAAAAACAATACCTACTCAGCTAAGCATTGACAGTGGGAAATCGTTCAATATACGCAGTGACACGAGTAAAGCCAGACGATGTTAGCGAAAAAGAGGAATCAACAGGATTATTTCCTATTGCTTCGACGAACCACTTAATGAAAACCCGATGGCTGACAATCTGCAAAATCCTCTAAACCGTCATTGCAATATTATTTGTCTGCAATACCGAATACGGCTGCTCTGCTGTAGGCTGACGGCAAACCCTCTAAGTTGTGACCCACATTTTAAAGTCTTTATTTTTTCTATTTTTACTAAAAAGTACTATTATTTATTTTCCGTCGGAATTTCACAATATCTTTCAAACGATAAAATAATTTTTGTTTAAATCAACAACCCAAAATGAACGTTAAGTTTATTATAATATATCTATATAATATTAATAGATAAATACGGTCTTCGGGGAAAAATTTAATCGTGCTTCAGGCACAAAAAAACCCTTCAAAGCTATTGCATCGAAGCTATAAGCCTGGACTTTATTATAAGAAACTTTAAGAGTGGTTAAATTATATCTTTTTGTGTTTACTCATTTAAAATTTTATATGCGATACTTATATAGAATTTACTGTTGTATACTGTAATTCAAGTTCGTAATCCCATTATATTTATCGAAATGCACACTTATACTTTTTGTATTTTTTCATAATAAAAAAAAAAATGCTGACATTTTTGTATTTTTTTTTCAATGTTATATAAATTAATTTTAGATTGACCTTTAATACATTTTCTAGTTCTTAGTCCGAAAAATACAAAACACCAGCAAATTTTTAACACCCTATTAAAGGGACTGTTAAATCTTGATAGATAAAATATGGGTTTGAGGTGACTTTTAGATAGTTAAAGCTTCACTAAGTTGTAGCATGTTAAATTTAAAGGTTGAAAAAATGTCACAGGAACTTCAAACCCCCCCCCCCCCCAAAAAAAAATACAACATTTTTAAACCAATACAAATTAGATATGTGTGACCAAGTGAAACCAAGAATTAAATAAAATGTAAGTTTTAGCGGTTTCTATAATGTTTGGAGTCAGACGTCTAACATATTATGTCCAAGGACTTGCTGTTGTTCTAACTTCTACTCAATTACTGACCTTCTTCCTCGAGTGCATTTTCGATTAGCTATCCCTTGACGCCCACAAGCTAGCTAATTAGTCAAGGACAGGGGAAGAATTAATGCAAAAGGAAAAAGCCATTATGTTCAAGATATATTAACAACGTAAAGCCCCACGATAAAACAGTTCTCAGGGGTGCCTTGTTGGTGGTTATTTTGAAACCATCTCACAACAACATTGTTACCGTATTTCTTCTTATTCCCTCGATGATAGCCGGAATTGTACATTTTGAAATGGACAATTTCGTTTCGTGTCGTTTAATTAATTCAATCGAATCCAAGACAAACAAAACCAATGTATAGATGTAAACTAACTAATTAAGACCACAAATAATTAGCCAAGGGATCACGATTCCAACCCTTGACAGCTATTTAACAAATATCCTTTCGTGTAAAAAAAAAAGTAATCGACCAACTCACACACACCAAAAGCTCATTATCGTCTGCCTCTAGTAAAGGACAGTGGTAATGTCCCCGTAAAACAGTCATGTATTGAATTAATCATCGGTTCTCTTCCGACATCCGCTACGGAAACTTAACGTATACATTTCCATACAATTTTCCAATCATGTTTGGTATTGTAATCATAACCAAAAGGGTTTTTGGATCGTTATGATAAATGAAAAAAACAATATTATTATGGTTACTATATTTGGCTTGTCTGAAAATAAAATATCAGATAGGCATAAATCATTCCTCGAAGTTGGTGAAAAAAGTTTTACACCGAACAAAACCTAGTAGGATTTGTGTGGAATATAATACAAGTGGTGTCCGGGCGCCTCTTCTTATATCTACCGTTGTTAGATTTAATTTATTACACCTAGCCAACATATTGTAACGGCCATTTGAGCACAAATCTCAAAGTAATCCAAATAAACACTCAAAAACCTTTATGAAATTTTACATATTTAACATATCCGTTTAACGTGTCCTCTTAGGGCCTGGAGTTCAAGGGTCAGATGGTGTTGTGCAACGAGTCCGGGTCGTTGCTGTTCGTCGGCTCGCCATTGCTGGACGGTCTGGACAGTTTAACCAGCCGCAGTCTGTTCATATCGGATATACCGTTACACGATGCCACCAGGGACGTCATATTGGTAGGCGAGCAAGCCAGAGCCCAAGTAAGTTCAAGTTTGTTGAAAATCTTAGTTTTACTGGCCAACTTGCACCGACGACATGAGATGCGACGAAGCGATAAAGCGGCTCCAACGCGAACAATATTGTCGATGGTCTAGATTAGATATTGAAGGGTTGTGCGATGCAAATCCAACACATTTCGATTTCCCCTTAACTTGGCAAGGTCAATTTTAAATATCAAAAATAATTTTGAAAACCTAGTTATTTTCTCCGCTCCGCGGAAAAACGTTGAATCATGGATATGTTATATCTTATCACATATATTTTATTATTTATCTCTTACATCTGATATCTTATCACTTATATTTTGTCTCGGATCTCTAATCTCTAACTAAAAGTGAAAGTGTAACGCGAAATTTCTTGTATCCAGCCCAACAATATATACCATGTTAATAATAGTATTTTTCTGGTTGGCCATGGAAAGTTATTTTAATATAAAATATATAACGTATCTTAAGAGATACAATGCCAAGTCGAGGGTTAAACGTATTACACAGTTCGTATTGACTAAATATTGTTGTGCGCGTAGTGGCCGCTTAAGCCAACAGTAAAATTCCGTATTTGGTCTGGGGCTATATAAATGTAATGATACAAAAAAAAAATAGCACCGTCGAAGTACCGTCGTTGCAGTAGGAATATGACATGGTTTTGTATAGAATTGTATTGCTGTATGTCAAGGAGCCAATTTCGTTTCGATTCACTGTGGTAACGGTGCATATATTATACTATATAGGTACACTCGTCTATGAATGTAGTGCCGCTATTTCCCTCTCCTCAGATCATTTCCTCTCTTTTATATTCCGATCGTACATGTTTCACCTATTGTACAATATTATACGTAGGCTTATATAAATGTATAAACCCATATATATATATATATATATATATATATATATATATATAAATTGTGCGGTTCTTGTATATTCGAACGCGGCCATCGAAAAAAGAAAAAAAGATAACACACAGACGGCAGCAGCCTATGTTTACAACTTTTTTTCCTCGCTCTTAGATAGATAAAAAAAAATAATAATAACTTGAGTTCGTTCACTGCCGTTGGGCGCACAACGACGAAAGAGTAGTAACAATAAACAATACAAATCTATGAGTAGTCTATAAATATAGACTACTTCCATGTAGAGCTTAAGGATGTGATATTATTGGTACTGAACTTCAACGTATATTTTAATTACAAAGTTCTATTTGTAAAAAAAGCTATATAACCCTTTGATGATGTTAGTAATAGTATTCGTCCTATCTAAAAAAAAAATGTGTTCTGCACAACTTCTATGTTGCAGTTAGAAAAAACGAATTGAAATGGCATTATTACAACCTGATCAAAAATTATCTCCTCGAGCAAAAATTTGCTTATTTACAATAATTTTATAAATCGGGAATATATCACGACACGTTATTAATAAATTATTGTAATTTTTAATTTTGTTTTCGGTCAACGAAAAAATAACGTACATATATATATATATATATTGTACAATCCCAACTATTAGTATTCGACCTATTGGATTAAGACGTTTAAAGTTTTAACGACCAGTTATGGAGAGTAGCCAACGATTGTCATTAGACGGTCGCGCGCTTTAATTTTGGAAGTTTTGCACAACTCCGGTTCGAAATGGGCCCAATATTTTGCTCGGTGCCCTAATAATTATACATATATATTTGTTTTAAATTTTGATTTGACATAAACAATCTATAGATAAAAATCTGTACAATTAGCTTTTACGATAAGAGTAAGAATGCCATGCAGGCTTGGCAAAAAGTCACCCATTAGCAACACTTAATATTTTGATTTTTAGTTATTTTTTCTTTTTATTTATATAGATGTATTTATTGTGTTTATATTTGCGGTAAAGCGAGAGCTTAGATATCCGTTTACACGTGTGCAGCCGATTGACAAGATATCGAAGACACACACTATAGACCTATGCAGACCTAGGTCAACCTAACGGCCCGAACGATTCAACGGGAGGGGGCAAGGGTACAGAACGATTTGTCTTCTTTTCAACCGTTGCTGGGGTATAAACGGTTTTTGAATGTCAATATTTCGATCAGGAATTCACGAAATCATTTTAAGACTTGGATATTGCCATAACGTCGAGGGCGACGCTCCTGTGTGTGTGCGTGTATGGACAAGCAGCGTCAATAACTTGATACGCTTCGGGCAATAAAACTGACAGCAGCGAAATAAATGAAACCAAGTACGGGGGAATATTTGTAGTTGTCCGAACGTCAGACATCTCTCTCGGCCGTCCATAAATTCACCGGAAAATGATGCCGGCCTACATTGCCACACACCATCGATCGAAAACCGCAATAACACTGTACATATTATTATTATAACACACGTCGTTAATAGTAGTGTACGACTCTGTTGGTCGGCATACACTCCGGAAAGTTTGCGATTGACCGCGAACAAATAAATATATGACCACCATTGAAAGACACAACCGACGATATACCAATAGAATGTTGTGAATATATTTTATTTCGGTAAAGTTTCTCAATTTAGGTACAAAATGTCTTCGGGGAATCTTCTTCACGCACGAGTACAATTCCTCATGAATTAATTCATAAGTAAAAAACGAAGTGGGATTTTAGTACTACTTCTAGAGTGTAAGTAAAAGTCTAAAAACTTTTAAAGTTAGATCTATAGAACACAATATGCTACTTGCACATAGCACTGAAATTAAAGTTTACCGAAACAATATAAAAGTGCGGATGTGACTAAAAAAAAGAAAAAAAATTGCGCTTTTTTCTATGGAACCATGTGAGTTCAAATATATTTACAAGTTTTGATAAATTTCGTCAGGTTTGAAAAAATGTAATTAGGGCCTTCTAAAGTTAATCTAAAAAAGGAATTTACGACCTTTTGTTTTTCAACCACCGAAAATTAATTATGTCCAAATGTGGCTAATGGCCTCGAAGTGTACTTAAAACACGTCTGGATGCACAAGTAATAGAACTGGAAGGCACATTGACACAGGGAGTTGTCGTACAAGTGATATACATGGATACGGATTCACACTATATTTTTATTTAAGGCGACGCAAACTATTCAAAAAATCTCATAAAATTGGTTAAAACATAATTTGAACTTAAAATCTAAAAATATTAGACCTGATCTAAAACCAATCTAACCTTGTGTTTAGCCTAGTCTAATGTAGTCTATACCTTCTGATCGAGGCTAATACTGATAGAACGTGCACTGATAATTTAAAAAAAACTTGCTAACGGAGTACATCATATTGTTCCCCATCAAAAGTTACAAATATCATAGTACTTGTTATTAGCAGACAGGTACATCATTACAGTCGTTTTACATCAACATACAATGTAATAGATCGTGTAAGTTCATAAAGTTGCAAGTGGATAGGTATATTTTTGATCTTGTCTCGTCGGATATTTGAAGCATAACGTTTTCCCTTAATAAGTTTCAAACTTCGTACACATAACACGTGACGCTGCCACCAAGTACAAGTTTAATTTCATTATGTAGACAGTCAACTGCGTTACGGAATTCCGATGGCACATATTAAACGCTTGACGTTAAATTGATAAAATTCGCATGAGTGTCTTGACATTTGCAAAAGTTTCATATTGTTGCTGTAGCTGTACCACATTCATTCGCATGATGGCCAAAATGTATGCTGTTCGCACATTTAGCCGACTACAGTTATATGTCTTCAAGCTTAGCTCATTAGTTCTGCTACTGTGAAACAACGTTAAGTCCATTTACTTGTATATAACATACTTTCAGCATACTCTAGTTATACACTCAAACAGTTCTATTATGATATATGTACACGTCATTTTATTTTTAGCCGAAGCGTTTAACATTTTCATCCTTTGGAGTTTAAGTGGTTCCTCTGAAATCTATTCTCAGAATAAGCGATCGGTTATTTCAATACTTCAAAATTATTTTAAATTTCCAATCGTGTATAAAGGTTAGGGTTTTAAAAAAAAAAAAAAACTAGAATACGAGTCTTTCCAAACTATCGTCGGATTGTTCGTCCTTTATTCGGCCAAAATAAATTTTTATTCTCCATGAAATTTACTGAAAGGGTGTTTGCCGGCATTAGGATGGCTTATGTTTGGAATTCGTTAGACGTTCTTTGTTCGTGTCTGGTCGCGCTGCGTCACCACTGGCTGTCACGACGATCTTTAACTACACGCGAGCAAAATGAAAGACCGTACAAAAACCGCCTGATTGACAGTTTAATCCATTAAGGACAGTCACCCACCGTACCTTGTCCTTTCTTGATTACATACCGAACCCTTGTAGAGTGACGCCTGTAAACGTGTCACTGCTTTGCTGATATTCGTGTTTTTTTTTTCAATTTCTATTATACAAAGATCTGTATACAGATACCATTAATTAGGGCTCACCATCGCTGAGCAATGATAAAATCCTTTTATTTAATCACGCTGCTGTTAAAGGAGTAATTTCTTTGGAATTTAATTATTATCTTACGTCATAACTCGAATCAAAAGAAAAAAAATTAATGAAAAATCACTAATAAAATATAAGCTATCGGTAAAATAGTTTTACAGTTAAACAGTATACCTACCAATTTTTTACGATCCAAGTACAAGAACGACCACTTTACTGTTCAATAAAATATGTCTAACTTAAATCTCGAAATTATTCGATACTCATTTGTCTACAATCATTGTAACGTTGTCTTAAAAAAGTTTACTATATTTTTAGACACTCGGGTTGTAAATGCTTCTTTTATTCGGTAAATAAATCCTATATTATTTATATTATTTATAATTCTACAGGCGTAAACATTGAAGCCACTCTATACATAGAAACCATAGCAACCTAATGTTTCGAACAATTATATTGAATACTACAGTAAAAAATTAAAATATGCAATAATCTGATGTTACTTATACCATAATATTATGTAAAACAATTCAATCTGTTTGTGTGCAATAGAACTTGTTTGCATCAAATCATCAGCCA